ATAAATAAATAAATTGGCATACATATTGGTTTCTACAGTATTTATTTTTATCACGACACAATAAATTTATAATAACATTTACATATATTATTTCAGTTCTCTCCTCGGATTGCGATCTGTTTTTTTTAAATTTATTTTTCTATTATAAATGGGCTCACTCTTGACCTCCATCTGGAACGAGGGCAAAGATGAGGTCTACGATGGAGCAAGACAGTGGCACTAAGGCCAAGTCTCACAATTCAAACTACCGACTAATCAGATTAGGACGTTGACATTGTTTTTGAGAAATATTTTACTGATATTTTTTAATAGGAGCACACAGTCCACCTGATGGTAAGTGGTTGCTGTGACCCATAGACATCCACATCTATCCTCAATAAAGAATCAAAATGAAGATGCGTTGTCACTCGTGAGGACTAAGATGGAATGCCTCCTTTCCAGTAAAAAGGGTCGCCGGTTCTCTACACTCACCATACGAAACACAGCAGCATTGAGCTGCTATTTTACGCTGGTATTCTGTGAGAGCGTGCTCCTACCCCAGTCGAGCCGACTCATTCGTGCTACTACTATACTATTAATATAGCCACAGCATGGCTCTACCACGTACAAATATTCCGATCTTAACTACTAAGTCACTGAATTCTTCTCCTGCCACCGAATCATTACTCAAACAAAATGTAAATGTGTGTTCAAAAAATTTTATATTTCGTAAGGAATCATCAAGAGATATTGTAAAATATTTTTAAACTACTGATATTAGAAAACCGCAGATCTCTGGGGGATTTCCGTTAAATTTTTTGCGTTTATAACAGATACAATCGCACCTCAACTAGCTATTATTTTTGTTATATATATGTTTATATATATGTTTTTATATATATATGTTTCTTGATTTAATGAAATATACTAAAGTAATACCTCTATTTAAATCTAGTAGTACATTGGACCCCACCAATTTAGTAAATTTTAGAAAAATTAGTCTTGATCAAAAGTTATTTTTAAATGTAAATAATTTATTTCATAAAAACCAGTTCGGTTTAACTAGAAGTCGCTTGACAACCGAGGCTGGTGTTGAGCTGATTACACATATCTTCAATGCATGGGAGAATCCGCAGAATGATTTGGGTATATACTGTGACCTATCCAAAGCCTTCGATTGTGTTCACCATGGGACATTAATCAGGAAGCTTCAACATTACGGTGTAAGAAGTGATGCTCAATTTATTATTTCATATTTAAGTAAAAGAACGCAAATAAAATAACGCAATTAAAATAACGCAAATAAATGTAAATTCTCGTCCCCTTTCTGTTTTTTTTATTGACTTACCTGCCATAGTAGGGGATAATCATGATATAGTATTATGTGCTGATAATACTTCATTAATTTTCAAATTAAAGCGACAATTACTTAAATATGATGAATTAAATAATACTATATCTAAATTAGTAAATTTAAATGGGGCGGAGCTAAGTTTTGTCGATACCACCATTTTTCTTAGAATCGCACTTGATTCGAAGATTCTATGGGGCCTATAGAAATTCTATTCTATATATTCTATACTCAGCATATGCTGTAAAACTAAGACTGAAAAAAGGTGAGAATCTTACGAGTGTTGAAACAGCTTATTTTACCTACTTCCATAGCACAATGTGGTATGGTATTCTATGGCGACACGCGACTGTCACTGAAATTATATTTGTTTTACAAAAGGGTGTCATATGAGCTATCTATAATTTAAAACCTAGTGTCGTTCAGACAAGTTCTCCCAATACATTTACGAAAATGTATGTACATAAAAATTAAGTCGTTTTAAAAAAATATGTCGTATTCATTCTGTAAATACTAGGAACAGACAGAAGCAAGTAGTACCAGTCACTCAACTCCACCGAGTCAGGAATTCATTCTTGGGGCGATGTATATGTCTTTACAACAAAATCCCAGAAAATATACAAAATTAGACCTCCTTAAAGTTCAAAAACTTTATTAAATAAAGTTTGCATAAAAAGGGTTAATATAATTTTAAGGAATTATGGTTGATAATAATTCCTGGGAATGGAGTAATCGCTATCAAGCTATTTCTAATTGTTTTGTGGTGTAAAGTGCATTTGTATTTCTAATTATATGTTATTAATTGCGAAATATATATGACTGTAAACTTTTATGTTCTTTAAAAAAAAGTTTTGCTAGATTTCTTGCTGGTTCTTCCCAGGACAGAGGTATTTTCCGAACCAGTAGTGGTACATTAAACATAAGTGACTTTCAATAAGTAATATTTATTATATTGAATAAAAAAGTCTTTTTTATAGTATAGTCATGATAAATGAGCACGCAGTTTACCTGATGGTAAGTGGATACTATGGCCCATAGATATCTACATTTATTCTCCAATTAAAATCAAACTGCAGATGCGTTATCACCACTGAGAGCTGAGATGGACTGCCTCGTTTCCAGTAAAAAGGGTCTCCGGTTCTTTACATTTACCGTACGAAACACAACAGCATTAAGCTGCTATTTTACGCTGCTATTTTGTGAAAGCGCGGGCCAACCCTGGCCGACCCATTCATTCTACTACCATATAATATGCATCATGGCTCTACCACATATCTGTTTTTGTTTCTGTTACTGATATTATTCTTTTCTAACCCCACCAATTTAATATTTAAAAAACTCATTAGAAAGAAGTTATGTTAGAATGTCATATTGAATAGCTAAAATTGGTCAAAAACATTTTTTTTTTATTTAGAAAAGCAACTGCTGCACATTGACAGTTTAATAAAAGTTGCTCTCGGTCGATGCAAAGTTTATGGAGAAAAAAATCGAGTTTAAATTTTTCCCAATGTGTAATCAGAAAGAGATGATAGTATTATATCAAATATGCTTATCCAACATAAACATTTTAGAATGTACATAACAAACGCATACCTACTGAAAAATTTCTAAGATGATTTCATTGCGTGACTAGTATATATATTTATGTGTATGTATAATATGTATTTAAGTATGTATATATGTATATATATATATATATATATATATATATATATATATATATATATATATATATATATGTATGTATATATATATATATTATCTGTATACTGTAAATAAAAGCCGTGGTAGCTCTGGGGCTAAGCACCCCCGGTAAATTTCACAGTACACGAGCAACCAATGAAACAGTTAATTGCAATATTAAGTGCTGATTTACCACGTGCTCGGTGGTGAAGGAAAACATCGCGAGTAAACCTACATATCTGAGAAATAATATTTTGACGACATGAGAAATTCGCCAAAATGCATTGGGGCAGCGCGGCAGACATTTTCTTACCTTAAAACCCTCTTAGAAATGAGAGGAGGCCCAGCAGTGGGACGTATATGGGCTGTAACTTTAACTTTTATACTGTGTATTATATTATGTATATCTATAATAATTATTATTATATGCATGCACACTAAATCTGCTTCTCTTTAAACTGTCCAGTATCGAACCTGTTGGAAGAAATTTGAATATGAAATTAGCTGTGCCTTTGTACAAAAATATCTTTTTCAGTTTTACTTTGTAATAATACTTTTAACCCACATAAGTTTTTAAATAAATAAATAAAATTTACTCATTAAATAACATGTTAAAATTTTATTTTCTTCATTTACCGACCATGCCCTGGCTGCTTGTGCGAAATATTTATATTATAATCTTGCAAGTGTGTACACCATGAACATGCATTGTTGCTCTGTTTCGTCTTAAGCTACCCTGATCTAATGTACTGCTTACATGTGTAAAGAGATTAATAGTCTTGATGCAGTTACAGATACATAAAACAATTACTATATATTCTCGCCTAAAAACTATAAGTTATTTTATTTTCAAACTTTCGTGTTAACAGGATTCTAAATTCGAACCTGCGACATAGTAGTTAGATAATGATAATAATAATCCTCTAGACCGAATTTTAGTCATGATGGTCCGTCTCAACGCAGACTAGCTATCATTACTTACCATTAGGATTATAGTAGCCGAGTGTACGCAAGCACAGGTGCACTCTCTCTTCCCTTACTCGCACAGTCCGATGGGACGGCAATTCGACATGACCGAAAAGAGGCCAGGTGGTTGATTCTGATCAATGGCTTAACGCACTGCACTAGCTTATAACACGGGGGTGAAACACCGCCAATTCTTAGGATAGGCTGATACTGAGGACATCTTTCCTACGAGGCTGTCAGTAGTAGGTAGACGGGAAGCAGCGTCTAGGATTCGAAATGTCTGGTACCGACCTAAGCTAAGCGACTAAGTGCGACGATTACAGCAAATCCTTCTTACAGTGAGAGATTTTTTTTATTAAAAAAGAACGTTACCCCCACACTAGGATTTTCTCCTGTGTCGTGGAGGCAGTTTACAAACATAACACAACATAAAACATCCAGACCCGTAACAATTATTTGTAGGCCATAAAAATACTTGTTCCGTGCAGGATTCGAACCCGCGGCCCCCAGCGCAACAACTCATTGCTAAGCCACTGCGCCGTGAAAAAGGGGTGCACCTTTTGCATTTTCTATCTTATCTACCACGGGCATGGTTCTGAGGAAATGTTGGGATTAAATCCAACCGCCAAATTTCACGAACGCACATCGCGACAAACTGACGATCCCATTCACACCATCTGGATGCTTGGCGGTCCATCACTGTGTGTTTTACCAGGAGTTTTCTTCCTCGTATAACCTCTCTGTGGATTCCTTTATCACCGGCAAATTTTCCGGAGCGATACGACTTGGGGACCTTCAAGAAAAGAGCTTACTCCTTTCTAAAAGGCCGGCAATGCACCTGCGATTTCCCTGGTGTTGCAGTTGTTCATAGGCGGCGAAAACCATCAGATGAGACGCGTGCTCGTTTGCCCCCTCATCGTTAAAAATGTCCAATAATATCCAGCATAATAATCGACTTTTACGGCCTGATGAAAAAGTAGAAGTACCATATCTTACTTTGTGTTTTTTTTTTCTATTACAGATGGTGGCAACGGAAGACACCTCAAACACTGTACCCGGTCAAATCGAGTCGCCTGGTACCTTCGGCAAGTTAAGGCAGACGCTTTCGTCTTCTTTACTCACGGCTCAAGACAAAGGCAAGTAGAAAATTATTCTCAAAAATAATTTTGTTTTGATTGATGCTATGAAAGTTAAACATATTACCAATATTTTTCATAGCAAATGCGAATAAATTATTAACTGTTCAAGTTTAAACGTTCTAATGCACCTTTGCTCATCGTATGGAAACTTTCGTTGGCACGCGCAGTCAGGAAATCTCCATAACAACCTGTAACAGATGACGTTTTAAACTCGTTATGGAAGTTTTTACTCTGTGAAAAAACTACTTTGTACTGGATAAAAGCATTTTTATTTCTACCGGCACCTTAAAATTAAATACTAAAAAGTTAATTTTATTTATTCGTGTATCTACTCTTTAGAATTGATATAATGGCTGTGATTTATGTTTTAGCATACAATGAAGTGTGAGTAAGGGAGAAGTAATTTATGTGATAGAGTACGCTGCAAATATAAAATGGTTGTAGCACGAATGGGTCGTCTCGATCGACCACGCTCTTATAAAATACCAGCATAAAATAGCAGGTTCATGCTGCTGTGTTTCCTATGGCGAGTGTATAGAACCGAAGACCCTTTTTATTGATAACGAGGCATTACATTTTTTGAATCTTAATTGAGTATAAATGTCTATGGGCCACAGCAACCACTTAACATCTGTGTGTGTGTGTGGGTTTGTTTGGACTGTGTGTTCGTTTGTCACTCTTATCCTATAAAAAAGTATATATATCTGGGACAAATTTCTTCATTTCTTTTCTTTCCTTTTAAAAATAAATTACTCAAATACAAATAAGCGCCGTACATACACGTCTAATATAACAAGCTATTAACATCAGAGTTAAAATGTTACCCAGAGTTTCCGCTCCAAGATATCAACGCAATTTGCTACAAAATTAGGAAGGTAATAATTTCACAATATGTAGGAAATGTTGATTTATATTATGGTGCCTTTTGCTTTACTGTTATATAATACACGAATTAGAAATAGTGTTCTTAACTTCCAATTTGGAAGTTGTGGTAATGTAATACCATATAACTTACATGCTTTTTTTATATTCTACTAAGCCAGCGCTTATCTACGATCCCACCTGATGGTAAGTGGAGATGAACGTAACAAAAGCCTATTCACTCTTGCCTTGAAGACACCCCCACTGTAATCGGATGGAAAGAGAGTTTGTTATTGCAGAGCCGATTTACTTGCACTGGTTGATAAAGCTCCACCCTATAATAAGAGAGAAAATATCAAATACAGAAATTTGTGTTCGAAATTTATGGATTGTTTATTCTGCTATAAGTGAGTCGTCACCGAAACCTCAGCAGGATGCATCGCGTGCTGATAAGATTGACATTTGTTAAAAGAAATATCCTTTCATTATAATCCATTTTTAGCAATGGAGAATGAAATTTATTGTAACATCAAGAGTCGAAACAAGTGACTATTGTTTATCTATTAAAACAGTGTTTTATTTTGACCACTTGCACAAAAATTAGGTTATATTAGGTGTCATGTAGCCCAGCTAAAGGCAATATTGCGAAACTAACTATTCGTACGCCTATGGGAGCAACTTTAAAAGAAATAAAAAAAACAGACCAATAACAGAAAGGAATAAGTTTTATTAGTACTAGGTTTATGTGTACTTCTACTTACTTCATCATCATTATCATTACAGCCTATCGAAAGTCCTCTACTAAACAGAGTCCTCTCCTATATATTGCTTTCTAAGGGTGATATTCACCATAGTTGCCTCGATTATCAGCCTGGTTGGCAACCGCAGTTTTTAGTGTTCCGTTATTAAACAACAAGGATACCTTGTAAATTCGCCATGTTCGTCCATCCAACTATTCGCGGTCTTACTCAGAAACACCAGGTGCAACAAAGCTGTAATTTGGCATAGTTATGATAGAACAGTTATAGATATTAAGAAGTTTGTTCCGCCCAGTCCCACACCCCTTTTATAGTGCACAAATATGAATAAATAATTTTATAAGCTTGTTTTCTTCATCTTATTTTTTATCAATCTTTAAAAATTGTTGTACGAAGTTTACCTGAGTCGTCAGACTTCTCGCACCGTTGATGCTGCTCCTCTTTCTCTGGATATTTTACGCCTGGCGTTAAACATGGTAGAGCCATGCTGTAGCTATATTAATTGTATAGTTGTAGCACGAATAGGTTTGCTCAACTGGGGAAGGACCACGCTCTCACAGAATACCAGCGTAAATAACAGCTTAATGCTGCTGTGTTTCGTATGGTAAGTGTAGAGAACCGGAAACCCATTTTACTGGAAAAGAGGCATTCCATCTTAGTCCTCACGGCTGACGACGCATCTGCATTTTGATTTGCAAGATAGATCTACAGGCCATAGCTACCATTTACTATCAGGTGGACTGTGTGCTCGCTCGTCACCCTTATCCTATATTAAAATAAAAAACAAACGAAACGCCGTCTACCGAAGATCATAAGATCTTTCTGGAATTTTCCATAATAGTCTCTTGCGATACTCATGGGACGAAATGGAGTGGATTATCTTACGCCACAACCAAACGGCACGCATGACGTTTTATTTATATGCAACAGTTATGTCCCAAATTAAATATGAGTAGCGAATAATGATGATTTTCTCCCGGCCGATATACGAATGAAGCACGTTGTTATTCACAGAACAATAAGAACAAACCAATCCCGATAGTTAGTGTCTTTAAATAAGTTTCAGCTAAAATAAGAACTCAGCACTCGTGACTGTAACTAAGCAGGTACTATTACCACTAAGCCACAGCGTCATCATAATGTTATAAATTGATGTATCTATATCTGAAAACATTTATAATTTTATATATTGTCAATATTAATTAGAGTAGACCCTATCAAGCTAAATTTTAAATCCGTTGAGTGCTTCTGTTGCAAGCTCTATAAATCTGTCGTCGAAAACTTTAGTCGAATTGATACTTGACTATCCAAATACTTCTTTGATAGCTTTAATAAATCAGTCCCTTAAAATCTCACTCATAGTTGTAACGTTAGCGTTGTCTGATTCCAATCGACTGCCTTTTGTTTATTAAACATTTATCAATAAACAATACATATTATATTACACAAAATTAATGTTGTTATCAATAAAATGAATTTAAAGGTCAATAATCATGTTATTTTGCTTTTAAGTTCGCTTCGAAATCCATTGGTTGCTTTCGTTGCAAACTCTATCAATTTTCTGTCGTCGGAAGCTTTGATTGAATTGAAACTTGCCTTCCTAATTACATGTTTGATGCTGCCTTAATTAATCCTTTGAAATTTCAATCATAGTTGTAAGGATGGCGTTATTTGATTCGACTGCCTTTTGTTTGTTAAGGGTTTATCAATATCAATAGATATTATTATATTATTAAAAATGAATGTTATTATCAATAAAATCAATCTAATAATCATTAAGCTCGATTCAAAATCTATTGTCTGTTTTCGATACAAGTTCTATAAATTTTATATAGTCGAAAGCTTTAGCCAAATTGAAACTTGACTTTCCAATTACGTCTTTGATAGCTGTCATAATTAATCTCTTGAAAGCTCAGTAATAGTTGTTACGTTGTTTGATTGTATTTGAATGCCTTTTGTATACGAAACATTTATAAATGAACAATAGATGTTATATTATTCAAATATTCGTCGTAGGTATCTCTATACATAAAATTTGTTCTTCTTTGTCTACGGTATTTTAATCCACTGCTGAACATTTTTATAATTGTGTCAGCAGACATACCTACCTACATACCTTGACCCAAATTTATCACGCTGGACAGGTGATTTCATGAACGCAGAGAAACGCATGAAACCCTTAGGGCGCGTTCCCACGACACGCACCCGCTACGCGCATGCCACGCGCGTCAGAACCCGCATCTAACTTGCTTTGAAATTTGTTGCATATAATTTGAGTCTTATGACAAATCAATAAATCAATAAAGCAATCTATGGGGGAGACCTATGTTCAGCAGTGGACTTTTATTAGGATGTTGTAATGGATGAATGGATGGTATTATGCGTACTATTGCTATGCCTTGTTAAATAAATAAAAAATGAGCATAGATGCAATTCGGTCTACCCTCACTATAAGGTTAGCATTTGGTGGCATTTGAATTTTTTTTAAATAACACAGGACCTATATTATTAAAAATGTAATCAAATTATACACAAATAAGAATCGAATGAAACCCACGCAAACAGAAATAATTCAAAAAGTAGAAGTACCTAGGGAAATTGAGAACCATCAGAATTCTTCAAATGTGAACTAATTAAATTATTGTGTTTGAACAATATTAATACTATAGTGATAATCATCATCATTCCAGTCCATCACAAGTCCACTGCTAAACGTAGGCCTTTGCCAAAGAATCCCATAAAGCATGGTCCTGAGCTACCTGCATCCATCGACTTCCTGCATCTCTTGCCATGTCATCACTACACTTAGTATGGCTGTTTTTTAATTCGCTTAGCAATACAAGGCTGCTTCACGAGAACCTTTCTTCCTCATCGGTTATCTGTTCTTCGAGCTGTTTCACCACTTCAGCTTATACTGATCGGTTGAGCTATGTCGGTTACTCCGGTTCTACTGCTAATTGCGAAATCTATCACGCAGAGCTCCGTGCATAGCTCTTTCTATAGCTCGCTGGGCGACATTGAGCTTCCTCACACAGCCAGCAGTGAAGGACCTTGTCCCATATGTCATTATCAACAACACGCACAGTTGTATTATTGTGTTTTCAACTTTTGAGGTAAATGTGATGAAATATTTATATCCCCTTTTTTGATGTTTCCACCGGTGGCTCGCCCATGGTTTAACGCAGAATGCGCCCAAGCTGAAAAACGCAAGTATTTAGCGATAGTCACATTATAAGATAGGACGGTAGGATCTGTCGATTAACCTCGAATAAAATTTTAGTAACAAAGGTCGAATTTGGTCGAACAAACCAGTATCACTATGCTCGCACCTAGATCTAGATATCTACGAGCTACCAACAGCTGCAGGCATAGGTGGACATGTTCGTTACACATGCTCTTTGTCTTATCCATGTTCATTTTAAGATCTATCCGATAAAAGAACACTAATTGAGGTTATTAAGCATAGTGCTGAGTTCCTCCTGTGATTCTGCTATAGTAACTATATCATCAGCAAATGGATTGTGAGTTATGTACTCGCCATCGATGTACTAATATTACATTTTACTAACATTATTCTGCTTTTTATTGAATAATTTTTAATAACTTTAAACAACAAATAGAATGACGACGTCGTTTTAGATGACATTTTCTCGAGAAGACAAACAATTTGGAATGATTCCAAAATATCCAACAGCATTCCTTGCTCAGTTTACCACAAAATCGATACGAGCCACATGCCCCACTGGACTAAATAATACACCGTACTTCGAAGCTTAGAAGTTGCCATATTTCATCTCAAGGATAATACCCATCTACGTTAGTGAATTAACGATCTATATTTAGGTTCGGTGTATTAGATCACATTAAAAAGTTATAGCAGACAAGTATCACACGCACTGACATAAATAACATTACATTATTCCCAAAAGACGATATTTTTTCTGGAATCTAACCAAACAATATAGAACTAGAATTTTAACGCATAATCAAAGTAATTAAAATTTGATGTAAAATGTAATTGATAATATATTATGCAAGTAAAGAACATAGATTTAGTCTTATAAATTATGATGTAAAAGTTCCAAATAATGTATTATGTTGAAAGTAAAAACGTAGTACAAAAACGCCCAGTATTTGATAGAAGCTAAATTGAGCTCGGAGCGGAATTCACGAGAATTTATCAATATTCCTGGCAAAATTTTACGAGTTACGCGATTCCAAGGGATTCTCAACTGGTATGCATAGCTATATAATTCCCAAAGAAATAGCTAAGCATTTACAACACTTAATCAAATTCTACTACTTTTATAAGTTTATTTGAATCGTTTTCTTAAAAAATATATTTCTCTTTTCAACTAAGTACCTTTTTTCTTTCTTTTTTTCTTAAAAAAAACGTTAGCCCACACTAGAATTCTCTCCTGTGTTGTGGAGGCAGTTTACAAACTTAACTTGCACAAAGACTAACATCCAGACCCGGAACAATTATTTCCAGGTCATTCAAATACATATTCCGTGCGGGATTCGAACCCGCGGCCCCAAGTGCAGCAACTCATTGCTAAACCACTGCACCACGGAGCCGTCATACCTTTTTGAATATTTAAAAAAAACATTTGATTCTTATTCACTATCACAATCATTGCAGCCCATCATAAGTCCACTGTTGAACATGAAACCCCCATCCCTCGACTACCTGCGTGATTCATCAGGTTGTCACTTCATCTACTCCCCCGTCCCCAGCACTGTTCTTACTAGGTTGAGGCTGCCATTCTAGAAACTGTCCCTTCCGATCATTACTAATAGGTAATCTAAAACTCTGAAGATATTTAAGGTAGAAATTTACTTAGTCGAACATCAGATATTTCATTAACATGGCGAGTTTTATCAGCAAGGTAGTCAAATATTTCGTTAACATGGCGAGTTTTATCAGCAAGGTAGTCAAATATTTCGTTAACATGACGAGTTTTATCAGCAAGGTAGTCAAATATTTCGTTAACATGACGAGTTTTATCAGCAAGGTAGTCAAATATTTCGTTAACATGACGAGTTTTATCAGCATGGTAGTCAAATATTTCATTAAGATGACGAGTTTTATCAGCAAGGTAGTCAAATATTTCGTTAACATGACGAGTTTTATCAGCAAGGTAGTCAAATATTTCGTTAACATGACGAGTTTTATCAGCAAGGTGGTCAAATATTTCGTTAACATGACGAGTTTTATCAGCAAGGTAGTCAAATATTTCATTAACATGACGAGTTTTATCAGCAAGGTAGTCAAATATTTCGTTAACATGACGAGTTTTATCAGCAAGGTAGTCAAATATTTCGTTAACATGACGAGTTTTATCAGCAAGGTAGTCAAATATTTCGTTAACATGACGAGTTTTATCAGCAAGGTAGCCTCTTAAAGAAAACAAAAGCTTTCAGTTTGCGGCACCATTAAAGTCTAATTTTTATGCAGACGACAAATTGAAAATTAAAAAAGTTCCTAAATTCCATTTCATTTATATAGTCTACTTTTCAACTTTAAACCTAGCACTAATCCCTGTTCACTTGTATCACTTGACTAGTGATCAGGTACGTTCCTGTCTTTAGGTTCAATCAGAAATACCCTATACCCAATACTCGTGTGAAAACACAAATAAATATACACGGAAATATAATTTCGGATTTATATCATAAACTTATTTCTCCACGTCTACACATTAATGATTTAATGATTGACATTTAATGATTTGACGATCACTACACATTTAAATAAAACTAGTTTTTACGGATTTTGACGCGTGTATAGTTTATTTAAACTTAAGCTTGTTTCTCTTCTACAAGCTGTCATCAAATACGGGCAGCGTAGGACGAGTATATTTATGTATTAATTTGTGGGTATATACTTGTGATCGACGTGTGTTTGACATTTAGGGTGCTTTGTAGCACCCATTGATGCTCACAAGCAACGTCAATATTATTAAAAAAATGGCTATTGTACGAATAAATCGGCTCTATCGGGGAAACTACCACGCTCTCACAGAATATAACCATAAAATAGCAGCGTTATTCTACTCTATGTCTCGCAAGGTCATTGTAGAGACCCTTTTTACTGGTAAAGAGGCATTACTTCTTAGTTATCAGGGGTGACAACATATCTGCATTTTGATCCTGCTTAATCGATGATAGTTATTGGTGTCTATGGACCACAGTATGCACTTACTATCAGGCGGACTGTGTCATACTTACATTAAAAAATATATAAACATTTAAGTATCGCAAAAAATCTATAAAGACAAAAGTAAAATTTAATGCATAATATTTTTTTACATTTCTTTATAGAATTAGGTGACAAGCGAGCATAGAGTCCACCTGATTGTAAATGTATGCTGTAGACATCTACATACATCCTCGATTAACAATCAAAATGCAGATACGTTGTAAGATGGAATGCCTCGTATCCAGTAAAAAGGTTCTTCGGTTTATTATACTCACCATACGAAACAGAGCAGTATTAAGCTGCTATTTTACGCTGGTATTCTGTAAGAACGTGATTCTTTCCCAGTCAAGCAGACGTGCTACAACTATAATATAGCTGCAGCATAACTCTACAACGCATGTTGCATCATGGCTTAACCACGTATATTCGCGTACACATAAACAAATCAATTACATTATAATTTTTGTATCTTAGAATTTTAAAAAATTAGTCATGATTTGAATTCATTTTTTTAATTTTTTTCTAGAATAAGGTTGACAAACGAGTACACAATCCACCTGATGATAAGTGGATGCTGTGGTCCATAGACATCTACATTTATCCTCAATTAAGAATCAAAATGCAGATGTGCCGCCACCCCTGAGGACTGAGATGGAGTGCCTCGTTTCCAGTAAAAAGGGTATCCGGTTCTCTACACTCACCATACGAAAAACAGCAGCATTGAGCTAATATTTTATGGTGGTATTCTGTGAGAGCGTGGTCCTTCCCCGGTCGAGCCGACCCATTCGTGCTGCAACCACAATATAGCTACAGCATGGCTCTACCACGTAAAAATATAAATCTGTTTTCTTTAAAATAATACACATTAAAATATAAACAGGAAAACGATTGAGATTAATGTAGAAGCTTATATAATTCGTCATAAATTTCAGTAACAAAGCTCGGGCCTAGATCTGTCCCAGTGGAGACTGCAACAGAGGCCACCCCCGCCCCACCACCCGCACAACCGCCACCCGTTCAGCCTGTTAAGACAGAACGGTATGTTGAAACAATCAAAATAATAAATATGGTCAAATTTATCCTTTAAAAATTTGTTTTAAAAAAAAAACAGTTTGTACATAATATTATGTTATGTACGTCTGGTTTGCCAAATAAATTACAAAGTCCAAATATTAAAATTCCCAAATATAATATATTTTATTATAATAATAAGTATACTTAAATATCCCTCTTTAATATTAAAAACTATAATAAAAAAATATTTATTACTATTGCTATTTAATAATTATAAATAGCAATTATTTAATAATTTATTACTTTTTAATTATTGGCCTTAAAGTGAAGGTGTCAGGATATTCACTATCGCATATCAGTTTTCACCATCGCCGGGTGAAAACTGACAGCGATCGCCGAATGATGAGAGGCACATTGAAAATAAACTTTAAGTTGTAGAGGTCTCGTCTAATGAACTAAACGCTTCGTCCTGAGAGGGACGGAGCGTTGAGTTCTCTAAAGCAAAGCCGCAAAAATTATATGTATTCTTTATGAACTCGTTTCTTTATGAAGAGTTTACTAAGAAAATTTCTTCTCTTATGTATATTAATGTATTCATCAACACAAATTGTACAAAGTAGAAATCTGTTCACGAAGTTATCAAAGAGAAAAGAACTTTTATTTGCGTTAAGTATTTTATTCTATACGAAATAAAATTTGTATTGATAAAAATTAAAATGGATGTGTGTATGTTGTATGTGTGTATGTTATACATTCTACACGTATGCTAACGCCTTTTTTGAAAGACAACTCTAAAGAAAAGGTTCTGTGACAAAATTTGTACAGAGAAGCCGGCAAAGCGCCATCTCGCGCCGGAGCATGTCGCGTGTGCTTGAAGGCGCTGAAACCAGGCGAGGTGTTCCACACATGCAACGGCTGTCAGCATCGTGTTTGTGAGGATTGCTCTTCCTATTCAAAACCAGCCAACGACGATGATGCGGTAAGAAGTTTTTGATTTACCCATTCATTAAATACTTAACATTTCTATATGGAATGGAAGGAGCCAAGCACGACAATGGTCAGGCTGGTGTGGATTTTTTTAATAGTTAATTTTCTTCATTTCATGTAGTTATGATTCTGAAATATTATTTTTAAGAGAAAATTCATAATTTCCCAAATACCTCAGGAAGCAAGTTTGAAAATTTTTCGCATTTCCTCTATCTTTAACGATGATTTTTACATGATTGAATTATGAAATATCTGACGATTTAAAAGACTTTCGTTCAATTGTATGGCCAAGGAGGCGTGGGAATAGTGGGAAATCATTTATTTATTCATTATTCATTACAGCCTATCAAAATTCCACTGCTGAACATAGGCCTCCCTATAGATTACCACATTGGGGTATTTGTCATAGTTGTCACGTATGGCAGTCACATTGCCGTGTAGTAGGATGTAAGAATTTCCATTACCCCATATCATCCCGTCAATGTCTAAGAGGTGACAGAGGGAAACGAAACAAAAGATGGGCAGCATCATCTTACGCATAACAAGTCATAGTAATAAAAACCTTGCCAAGTAACTAAGAACGGATAAACATCTTCCTATGATTTATATATTTTAAATAGTACTTAAAAGAAATATTTAAAAATCTTTTTTTTTCTGCAGAATTCTTGGCGTTGTTCAGTTTGCCGACGCAAGGCGGGTCCTAGGCTACCCCCAGCGGCCCAGAACAGCACAGACTCATTATTGGAAATTCCCGTATTAGAGGCACTACAGCGACGTCACTCGGAGGCCCGTCTAGGCAGCGGTGGGGCTTCCACCGGCCTCGCTCCACCACGTTCGCCGGAGCTCCGACGACACTCCGACGTTTCACCAGCCTCTTTGAAAGAGCTGGAAAAGGTAATATGAGCACATTTCCATAAGCCCTTGGTAGTACGGAGAGCAAGTAGGTACACGAAAACCGATTCGAAACCGCCCACCCGCCTCTCTCGAAATTAATATTTATTCACATGTTCTGATGCTAAGATAATACAATAGATCATCATTAAAAAAAACGGAGAAAATAATCAAGTTGACATTGCCTCGGTAACAAGTAATTAAAATATTTAGAGACTGTCCCGTTGTAGAAACACGCTGCAGCTTTTTCATAGTTGCAGGGCTCGACGGGGGAAAGACTACTCTCTCACCAGCGTGAAATAGCAGCTTAATGCTGTTTTGTTTCGTATGGTGCGTATAGAGAATCACATATTTTACTGATAAAGAGGCATTTACCTTAGTCCTCAGAGATGCATTTACATTTTGATTCTTAATCGACGATAGATCTAATTGTCTACACCATTCACATAATATTAGGTGGGCTTTGTGTTACTTTGACACCCTTATGCTGTAAAAATAAAACTTAAGTGGATTTAAGAGACCTCCAGCGAAACATAAAATCTGAGATAAACATACATACACATGCATTAAACTAAAGCATTCTAGGGAATGCGAACCCTTCCAATAAATGTAGCAGCGTGGTTCCTGCTTTATAACCCTCACAATATCTCTCATATTGATACCTGTAGGTAGCAGTTTGACGTTTGTTTGATTTCCTGTCAAGCACAAGTGAATTAGAAAGGATGATTAGACAACAATTCTTAATCCACTACTGCTTACCATATTTGGAACGAGCATTCATGACCGCAGCTGACGCCTTCACAGGTGATATGGGACACTTAATAGCAGTTCATTTAGTGTATTTAGTTGTGAATCGTTGAGTTTGTAACGACGCTGCCCGCGGCGGCAGTTAAAGGGCGGCGGTGGCAGCGTGACGCCGGACGTGGTGTCGAGGCGCGCGAGCACGGTGTCGCCGGCACGTCGCCGCTCAGTGCGTGCGCCGCACCAACACTCCTGTGACGAGGACCAGCCCGCGGCACCCCACCCCTCCGGGCACGCGTCCCCGCTTTCCGCGCCGCCGCCTATGTCGCGCAGGTACGCCTCGCACCAAGGGTTGATTTACATTTAACTCAATGAGGGCTTCCACGACTTTTTCTGCCCCCAAGGCGGTGCTACTTTGGTATGAGGTGAAATATTTGACAAATGTCGTAGTGGGGAAGTAATTTTTTTTAATGTATTCATATAATAGAAACAGAAAAATTTAAATCGCAACTTTTCAAGATAATAACACTGTCCATCTGCGTAACAAATAAGTTCACCTTATTTCCAACTAGCGACATCTGGTGAGCGTAAGATTATTAGCCCTCATTGGCGTTAATGCATAGACGAGTCAGAATAGCTGCTAGAGTGTGCGCACCGCACCCTTCCAGGGCTCCTTCGACTAAAACCAGGCCCTGGCCTCTAACGTCGCCGGGCACGCACCCACACTCTTGTTGTGCACCCACACCTATGTCACTCAGGCACACCTCGCACCAAGGGTTGATTTATTTAGCTAAATTGGCGTGAATGCATATGCGAGTAGGTATAATTGCGGTATTGCTACGGTGCGCGCAGACGATCAGGGCTCCTGCGACTAGGACCAGCTTGCCCCTCTACCCCTCCTTGCCAGGCACGTCCACACATTCTTCGTGCTGCCGCCAATGTCACGCAGGTATGCCTCGCAAAAAGTTCGATTTAGGTTTGGGTCAGTAGTTACAATGCATAGGCGAGTCGGTATAGTTGCTAAAGTGCGTGCACCCCACCAGAGCTTCTGTGACTAGAACCAGCCTGCGGCCTCCCATATCGCCGGGCACTCACCCGAGCTCTCCGCGCCACTATGTTATGCAGGTACGCCTCGTAAAAGGGTTCATTTACATTTGGGTCAGTAGCGTCAATACATACTTAGGCGAATCGGCATAGATTCGGTACTAGTACATAAACGATCGCCTCGCCAGGGTTCCATTGCTTTAACTTTGCATTGTTTGCATTGATTTGATATTATAATTGCACTATTTTATTTTTTAATACTATGAAGTAAAATTGTATGTCGTAGAGCATCGGCTGTAGACGTGGTGAGCGGCGCGGGACCCCGTCGTAGCTCTTTTCGTGTGGAAGAACCAGTTGACACCCCACCACAAATAACTGGGCTCAGCGTTGAAGAAGAACGTCCCATACGTCGCCGTGGTAGTCAGCTGTTAGTAAGCCATATTATTTGTATCATTTTAAAATTACTACCCGCCCGCTTCGCAGGGAGTAAATTAAAATTTTTAAATATTTTTTATAAAAGTATCCTTTGTCCTATTCCACAACTTAATCTAATTCTATGCCAAATTTTGTTAAAATCCATCCGAGTGTGATTGAAGGACAAACAACTACATAAACACACTTTCACTTTTATAATACAAATAAGATAATCAAAATAATACTCGTATCTCACAGCTGACAATAATACTGTAAATACTACTACTGGGTACATTTATTTTGCCCTGGTTTGTTTTTATTTTCTAATTATTATTGTAGCTTCAAATATAACTTAAGCATTTTTGTGATACTTATTTCGTCTGGGTGTCCGTCTGAAGGATCATGATTTTATAATGAATTAATGATAATAATGATACCTTCGTCGTCCTAATTAGCTACTGAGTAAATTACTAAAACAAGCAGCCTTGCTTTGGCTATCGAGTGATCAATTAAACGAGATGTGTTCATAGACTATTTTATTGCACGGTCAAAAGAAATATATTTCAACGTTACTTTCCCCTCTAGACCTTCAATCATCATTATTATAACAACCAATCGCAAGTCCGCTGTGAACATAGACCTTCCCTAATAATACCTCAAAGGTCCTGAGCTATCTGCATCTATACGACTTACGGTATCTTTTACCAGTGTCAGGGTCACGCTACTCTTAGCTACAGGTACGAGGCTGCCATTTGAAACCTTCTTCCCCACTTCTTGAGAACCTTTTTACATGATAGAGCCATGCTGCAGCTATATTGTGGTTGCAGCACGAATGGGTCGGCTCGACCGGGGAAGGACCACGCTCTCACAGAATACCAGAGTAAAATAGCAGCTCAATGCTGCTATGTTTCGTATGGTGAGTGTAGAGAACCGGATACCCTTTTTACTGAAAACGAGGCATTCCATCTCAGTCCTCAGGGGTGGCAGCGCATCTGCATTTTGATTCTTAATTGAGGATAAATGTAGATGTTTATGGGCCACAGCATCCATTTACCATCAGGTGGACTGTATGCTCGTTTGTAACCCTTATTCTATAATAAAGAAACCTTCTTTCCCATCGTTTGCAGGCTCAAGTCAAGCAAACTCCAAGTTTCCTGTTACGGCCAGTGGTGAATAGCCACGTCTAACAACACGCACTGGTTTTATGCATTTAACATAGTTGCATCTATGCACACACGTGACGAAATAGGATGATAAATTCTCTTACGCCGCCACCACATGGAATAGAATAGAATAGAATAATTTTTTATTCAATATTGATTATTACATAATATTGAAAGTCATTTTTTATTTACCACTGGTTCGGAAAATACCTCTGTCCTGGGAAGAACCAGCAAGAAACCAAGTGGGACTTTTTTTTAATATATTTCACTTTACAATAATTTTGTTTATACAATTTTTAAATGCATGTTCATAGAACCAGCATGGTGGCGATCACCTTATTGCCAGAGGTTATTTTCATTCATGTGTATTCCTTGATATTATAATAACCCTTTTTCTACAGTTTTTCTTTAATAAAACTTTTAAACTTGTTTATTGACAAACTTTGAACATGTTCTGGGATTTTGTTGTATAAGCGTAGGTATATATTGCCCCATAAACGAATTACTGTTAATTATGTTCAAAATACGGCTCAAAAACACAGCAAGCCATGGTTTCAAGTGCTCATCTTGATTTCAAATCTCAAAAAAAATATTATAGAACACTACATTAGGTTTTTGGAACTAACTAACTAAGAGTTACATTAATCAACGCTAGGTTAAGACTTGTAAGTGCCTTTACAATTGCAAACTGGTGGCGGTGTATCTTTTTGGTGAAACTGTTAGCGGTGGACAGTTGACAGCTTCCAACGATATTCGGAAGTTGTTACGTTTTCAGGCCGGACATAGCAGCGTTGCAGCAACGTACTGGCGCGTTGAGTGCGATGGCGACTCTGGCGTCGCGTGGCTGCGAGGCGGCGGAGCCGAGCGCGATGTCGGCCGCGGCGGCGGCTGCGGCGGCAGCGCGCCAGATGTCCGTCGATGCGGAGGCCATCAAGATCGTCATACACGACGTCGATGATAGCACGGCGCGCCGCGTCACGCTCCGACGTGACCCTAACGACAAGGGACACCGGTGTACGTAGCCGAAAATTTAATTCAAGATTTCTTCTAAAAGTCGCTTTTTTCATTTAGTTTTTTTCTACTTAAAACTCAAAACGAATACAACTTACGTTGAAGATCTTGAATTATAATTTTGCTTTCGATTTGCTTTGGAGATTGGTTTATTCGGGTTTGCTGCCTACTCACGATTTCAAAATTGATCTTCTATACCCATTAAAAATTATCTAATTATTTTGTATACCGATAAGTCGCCACAGTCGAAAATTATTTGGATTCAATTAACTATGACAGTGATGGTGATTGACATATATAAAGATATTTTAATTTTATATAGTAGATACGAGTGAATGCTTCCATTGAAATATCGCCCGTCTATAATTGTATCTTGAAGAAAATGTAAATACGATAACAGTCATTGATTGATACTTTTGATTGATTATGTTGCTCAATATACGTAGGGTCCTTAAAAAAATAAGAATGGAATACTGGTTGTTAATAAGGTGGAATATTTGTATGTAGGTAATAATCTGGTTTTATTTGCTTTAGAAAATAGAATTAGAGCCCCGCAATATGATCGTTTGTCACCCTCACGGTGATCGGCGATTGGTTGCGTGGTTGGAGGGTAGGCGGACGTTGCGTGGCGGTTTGTTTTTAATTTTACAAACGGCTGCATAAGTGCGGCGGTGATTACTCGCATGTTTTATCGCATGACGCAGTCGCTCACTCCTTAAGTAGAGAGCGGTTGCGTCATCGGTTTGTATAAAAGGCAGTTGTTTTGGCTCGCCGCTCACTTAGCAGTTAGCCACCGTAGAGTCTATATCACCTGAGGATGTCTCGTGTAGAGGCGAAACACGTGTCGTATTGTCGTCAGTGGTGTGTCTTGCCTAGTGTAGTGGTGTTGGGAGTAGCGGTGCTGGGATTAGTGGTGACGGGGATAGTGCACGCAAATGAGGGAGGGCGGAAGGTGCTCTTCATACTAGGTAAGACACATCATTTTATTTTATTACGCGGATATTTGCGAAGTAAATTATTCTAACGCTTTTATAAAATAGAATTCATTTGTTTGGGGTATGTTGTTGCGTGTTGGGGAAAATATAATCAAATAAACTACGAACTGTTATTAAAAATATACGCTTGAACATTTTACTGCAGAAAAAGTCAATCAAAATTTACGGGATACAGTTGCACGAATTCAAACGTGGAAGCACATTCACTAAAGATAAAGCTCGCGCTAGGGACCCACTAAGACAGCAGTGACCGAATAAATGGTTAAAGTCTAAAAATTGTTTTAACAGATAGTTGTGCACGGATATATCCAAACAACGATTTTGACAGGTAGTGTGCAAAGCATTTTACAAAAGAAGAATACGGTTTCTGTTCTTATTAACGGATTTATTTAGAATAATTGGTAACTTTATATTTAAAACAAAGAAAAAATCAAAGAAAATTTTTTTGTTTACAAAATTAGAATTGTATTTTTGAGATTTTTATGGTTGAGAATTCTTTATTTTTCATGCTCGTATTTCTCATAATCAAGTACAATCTGGAGACACGGCAGTGCCCCCGCCAATTCGAGCAAAAAAGCGGCACGGCCGTACAATCCTTTTCTCGAAGCAGTTCAGGCCATTTTCGACCCACTATAACTTCGTTGTAGATAAAACTAGAAGCCTGAATTTTCAGTAACCAAGCATGCATTGTATAAACACGGTATATTTCAAATTTCATTCAATTTGAACCAGTAGTTTAAGAATTATAACTAGTCAGTTTCTCAATTTTGGCACTCACTGACTGACCGATCATCGAAACTCTAAGCCACTTCTAGCAGACATAGAAGCTTCAAATTTAGAATTCAATTACTTTTTAGTGTACAAATCAAGGAAAAACTAAAATATTTTGTAATTTCGGTCCAGTTTTCTAGATACACCAACTGCATAAATAACTTTGTAATCCTATATAAATATATAGCATTACAAAGTTACATTTGCAGTGGATGAATCAGTGTACCTGTATTTGTATAATATAATGGAATAATAGATGTAGATAGGTACCTAGATATAATTATGTTCAAAGCTAACTTGTAAAATGGTCAACGGAATGAAAAAGCAAGAATGGGACATGTCTTACGAAGTTGTACCAAAATCCCGCAAAGTATTAAGTAGACTAATTGCCCAAAAATCCGTAGTTGGTATTCAAGAAGTACAATGTACCGGAAATGAAAAAAGTAGGACTATCTACAAAAATAAATGACATGCCATTAAAAACATAACTTGTAAAGAAACCAAGTCTAGCAACTCAGTTATTCTACCGTAAAAACCATATCAATATTAAAAATCTTTTATGTTTTAAATACATACATAGATTGACTTGGCAATCGCACTAAACAATCTATACAAATAAATAGAATTGAAGTGTCTGTTTGTAATATCAATAATAATAATAAAGTATATACGGTACTTATAACAAAAACATAATTTTTAAAATTTTTGTCTGTCTGTATATCTGTGTCTGTCTGTCTGTTTGTTTGTTCCGGCTAATCTCCGAAACGGCTGGACCGATTTCGACGGGACTTTCACTGGCAGATATCTGATGTTATAAGGAGTAACTTAGGCTACTTATATCTTTTAGAAAAATAATTAGGGTGCCGCGCAACATAATTAAAACCCTAAATTACACGCGGGTGAAGTCGCGGGGATCAGCTAGTCTGATATAATATGTATTACTTGTGAGATACATTGTGTTTTCACGCGATGGCCAAATCAATCTATTTATGTATTTAAAACATAAAAGATTTTTAATGTTGATATGGTCAAATAAGATGTTGTTAGGTTAGCTAATTACGTAATAACTTGAGACAGAAGGACCCTTAAGTAGGGACCGAATAAATTAACCGACTTGGTATTACATGGATCTCACAACTTTTTACGGTAGAATAACTGAGTTGCGAGACTTGGTTTTTTACAAGTTATATTTTTAATGGCATTTATTTTACACTAATAAAAATAACGCAATTTACGAAAGGAATGTTAACATAATTAGAGAAAATAATTTATTTATCACTACGAAAGTGGTCAATCGATGTAAACACTTGCCTAGACAGTTGTTTCAAGATAATTTTTTTTTAAATTAAATTTCATAAAAAAATCAAGTATCCTCATCCTACGTAGCCCGAGGATTCGGCATGCGTGTTGTTGGTGGCAAGCCGGACGCCAGCGGACGCCGGGAGGCTATTATCGTTTGGACTGTGCCTGGCGGACCGGCTGACCTCGCTGGGCTGCAGCAGGGTGATAAGGTAAAATGTTTTACTGTATTCATATGTCGTTCTCAAAATATCATAGATTATTCCGCAAGCTTAGCTATTTACAAATTATTCCATATATCGATCGCATAATTAACACGAACACTGTAAAACCGTGCAAAGTTAAGATGTGATTTTTGACTTGGTAGAGCCATGCTGCAACTATATTAGTTGTATAGTTGTAGCAGGAATGGGTCGGCTCGACAGGGGTAGGACCATGCTCTCACAGAATACCAGCGTAAAATAGCAGCTTAATGCTGCTGTGTTTCGTATGGTGAGTGTAGAGAACCGGAGACCCTTTTTACTGGAAACGAGGCATTCTATCTTAGTCCCCACGGGTGACAACGCATCTGCATCTTGATTCGTAATCGAGGATAAATGTAGATGTCTATGGGCCACAGAAACCACTTACCATCAGGTAGACTGTGTACTCACTTGTCACCTATATTCTATAAAAAAAAATGTGAACAAAGCTAATTGACCAGATGGTATTAGTATAAATTATATTCTATAGCTAGTGGTATAGTGCTAAAGGCGTGTGCTCCTGAGTTGTCTCCTCGGTTGACACGCTTGTCCCTCATCTCATTTAATACTGAAATAGTGCCCAAATCTTAAAAGCTGACCAATGTCAGTTTATTGAGATATTGATATTAATTCAGTCTCAATTACGTTCATACTCTGTAATATCGAGCCTATATCCTAAGTCCACCTTATGGCGTACCTAGAAGACAAAGACCGCTCAGCGATCGACTGTATGGGTTCCGCCGTAAATGATTGATGGACTTTCTAGTAAGGCAAGGCTTAAGAGAAAAATATCGCGTTTCCCTTGATGTCTCAAAGGCTTTTGAAAGATTCTAGCATACTAGCCTTCTAGGTAAGCTTTCTGCGTACGGCTTATCCCCTAGACTAATCGGTCGAGTACTGTTTTTAGCAGGTAGAGCTTTTTGAGTGAACGATCTCTCCTAGCAGTTGTCGAAGGCTGCTCTTCCGTGACTATATTGACCATACAGTACCTCAACGAAGTTCCTTAGTAGTCTTTTGTCTCCACAACTCTGTTCCTGCTACATATACATGGCCTGTTTATGTATGGTCCTTGCAAAGCGAGGACACCTCACTCCCTCCCTTGGGACTTGCAGCTTGCACCTTCCTTGACACTTCACACCGGGACAGCTAGATATGCTGGGGAACATGGAATATTGTTGGTTCTGCAAAATGCCACAAACAACTTTGGACTCAATAGAAAGGTGTGCTTGAGGGCGAACGAAACAGTTTGCTTCGTCGGCGTGGCGTGGTATAACTTGCCAGCATCTGTCTTTCCTTCCGATAGTAATAGTGAGAAGGCTTTTTTGTTAAGCTAAGTCAGTGCATTTTACAATCTTCGGCTACATATCATGGCAAAGTAGTCGAAAATGGATCTTGTTATTTCTTGTGACTTTTTCAGTCTCTTCTGTGATGGGCTGGTCACATATTTTTTGTCGGCTCAAACTGAATAAACTGAAATAAAATATATTGACTAAGCACAAAAATACATCTTGTGCAAACTATCAGCAATCTGCCGTGGGCATAAGAGTATTAGCACACCAAACGTTCGATCGTCGATCGATGGTGGAATGGACCATACTGATCGATCGATGGTAGAATAGATTAGTCGACGTCGATCGAGCTCCTTGATTATTCGAATATATTTTGAAAGATACTGATGATAGCCCACAACTACATTGATTGATTGTTGATCGACGTAGGTCGAAGATTGAACAACGTTTCATCGACCAGTATCCGTCGATCAGCTAAAGCTAACACACCATTCGATCGACATTGATCGACGTCGATCAATGGCATCGATCGATTGGTGTGGTAACACCCTAACTTTCACGACAACAGTCAATTGCAAATTCTCTCGTACTGTAGTAGGTACTTAGTAACGGTAAGTTCATTTGTATATAACTATTCTACCTTTATTTAATTACAATATTTGTTTATATGTATGACACATTTATGTTACATTATTTAATAATTCTCATGGGGGGTATAATGCCATAGTTGCCACGCTTGGCGAGCGGGTTGGCAACCGCAGTTTTTTTCTAATTTTGCTGTTATCAGGAAGATGCTGCTGCTCATCTCCTGCCTGTTTCCCTTTGTCGCCTTTTACGAAACCCACGGGAAGATATGGGGTAGTGTATATTCTTAACCGCCACTACACGGCAGGACAGGTCGCTGGAGGACCTAAGCACTATGCTCAATGACCTCAATAGTGTCTCGCAACGGATAGGTCTTAAGATGAACATGGACAAAACAAAGATCATGTTTAATGTCCATGTCACACATATGCCGGTAGTTGTTGGGAGCACTAAGCTCGAAGTTGTTGACGAGTATGTTTACCTGGGACAAATAGTACGACTAGGTAAGTCACACTTCGACCGAGAGGTCAATCGACGGATTCAACTCGGCTGGGCAGCGTTCGGGAAACTACGACACATCTTCTCGTTAGACATACCTCAAAACCTGAAAACAAAATCGTACAACCAGTGCGTGTTGCCAGTGATAACTTACGGATCTGAGACGTGGTCCTTCACTGCTGTCCGTATGAGGAAGCTCAATGTCGCTCAGCGAGCTATGGAGAGGGCTATGCTCTGGGTTTCTCTGCGTGATAAACTTAGAAATGAGGATATCCGCAGTAGAACCAGAGTAACCGACATAGCCCTACGGATTAGTAAGCTGAAGTGACAGTGGGCCGGCCATATAGCTCGAAGAACCGACAACCGATGGGTAAGAAAGGTTCTCGAGTGGCAGCCTCGTACCGGTAGGTGAAGTGTAGGTCGACCCCCCACTAGATGGAGTGACGACCTGGTAAGACATGCAGGATGTCGATGGATGCAGGTGGCTCAGGACCGTGCTTTGTGGCATTCCTTGGGCCTATGTTCAGCAGTGGAGTTATGAAATGTAATAATTCTAAAGTATATATTTTTACTTTTTTATATCTTTATATATAAAAAGTACGTGTCACGTTGTTTGTCCGCGATGGGCTCCTAAACTACTGAACTGATTTCAATGAAATTTTGCACACTGTGTGCATTTTGGTCCAACTTGAGAGATAGGATAGTTTTTATCCCGATAAATTACCCTCAAAATTTTTTATTGCGAATTTAAGGATTTTTATAGGAAGGGTCGTGGGAAAAGGTAGAACAACGTCTGCCTTGCGAGCTAGTATATATATAAAAATTATGTACTTATGTATTTATCTTACCTATGTACTTATATACCATTCTATATTTCTATTTTATGGCTTTAATAAAAATAATGTTATTTTTGTCGCTAAACCACACACGTTTTAATTGTTTTCCTGAAATCTTGTCCATCCAAAGGTTGTCTGGAAGAGATCGCTCTTAGCGATAAGACCGCCCATTGTACCACAATTCTTTTTCTCATTTTTTGTTAATATTTATGTTATTTTTTGGCGTATAATAAAGTGTTATCTATCTATCTATCTATCTGTTTACTAGCTGTGATACAAAGGCTCTGTTAACATAAAGGAAAGAATCTGGAAGGTATTTAATGATGGTGATGATGATTTTAATAAACAAATGTTGAAGGTTCTGGAATGGGGCGGAGTTCCGCTGACGGAACGCAGTTTCGAGGAGGTGTGCGCGGTGCTGGAGCGTGGCGGCGACACCGTGGAGCTGCTGGTGGAGCCCGCGCCGCAGCTGGACGACGCGCCCACCGTGCCCGCGCACCACGCCGCACACCACCACCACCACGCTCTCCACGGTAATCATTGTTATTGCCAGGCAAATATTAAAATAATTTATAAAAATTTAAATATAATGGGTCTCTTACCCTTCTGCTTGGCTTTACCATGTTGTTAACATATGCCTACATACGTCTATGCACACTGAAGGTGAATATTGTCCCAAACAATAGAAGATTGACATGATCTCCCGCCAAAGACGATAAGCATAAACATACTTTCTGTTTCGGTAGTGGTACGCTAAAAGAAGTTATACACTCTAATTTGTTAATTGAAAATATTTTACAGGCCTGGGAATGGATGAGAATATTACAAAAGTTTTTTTTAAGTATTTAAAATGCACGAAATATTTAAAACGGTGTAGATAAAACGGATATATAAAGTAAAATGGAGTCCTACTGTAGTCTGTCTATTCGTCAGTACATACGTAGGCGATCCCAGACTTGTAGACAAAATGCGTTACAGACTTAAAATTTGGATATTTGGTGTAGAAAGTTGACCCAAAATTTAATATTCAATTTAATTCTTATTGAAAGGGGGGGGGGAGATTCCATATATGAAAATGAGCGGAAAAAATGTTTTTTCTTCCCCTAGTATGTTTATGGGATCTCAATGTCCTGAGCTCAATGAGTAAAGTACAAATGTATTTTTATTCGCTTTTATCTTCAAAAGAAAGAAATGGGTTCCATGAAAAATGCCTATTCTTGACCATTTTCTTCTCTCTTAAAACTATAGTTTTGAATTTAAAACTTCTTTTTATAAACGCTACCCCCACACTAGAATTTCCTATATAGTGGAGGCATTTCTCTTGTATCGTGGAGGCACTTTACAAACATAAATTCATCATCATCATCATCATCATTACAGCCCTTCACAAGTCCACTGCTGAACATAGGCCTCCCCAAAGAATGTTATGTTCCACATAAATTGTATGTTAAATCCTATGTTCAACATAAATTAGACAAGGACAAATATGCAGACACGGAATTATTATTTGCAGTCCATATAAATAATTGTTTCGTGCGGGATTCGAACAGAACAAGTATTTGTTATTTTCGAATCCCGCACACGCAGTTCCCAGCGCAGCAACTCGTTGCTAAGCCACTGCGCCACGGTACCTTCGGTATAATGTTTAAATTACAAATATTTTTAACATCGATTAATGATGTAGCTTGTGAGCTGTGACCGAAACAAACGCAATGAAATTTTCTTTATTGATATATATATTTTTTTAGAATTTGGTTCTTCTTATTAGAACATGAAGATGTTAAAGATGGATTTACAAAATGCAACCAAAAAATCCAGGGATGGAATATAAATTAAAAAAAAAAAACATAAACAGTCAAAGCAATCCGTTAAAAGTTTACATGCCATTATAATATCATCAATCATGTTTTAATTAGTTTTCTATACTATATGCAATAATTTAAGGACTTCTATTTTCCTGTTCCTATTTTTGTCTTGTATCTTTTTGTTCTTTAGCATTTTAAATTATTATTTTCATTGAGGTTATTAAGCATTTTTCTACAGGTTGCACATACATAATTTTAAAAAAAATCTTCGTGCTTATACCTCATAACTCTACAAGTTTCTTCACCTTCATCTCTTCTTCTCACGATCTTCGCCTATACGGTACTAAATTTCCTTTGTATTTTGTTGTAATATATACATTTCTTGTAAACACTTTGTATTGGTTTAAATGAGCTGAGAAAAAATCAACATACTCTTTTATTTATTTTACAGAACCGGATACTGACAAATCGCCATCGTCGCCAACCCGTCGGAAATTGCCGAAAACCCCGGTATAATATCTATAATAGGCTTTAATTGTAACAATAATATGTGTTGTGAACCTGTAAGACATTGAGCGGAACTACTCGTACCTTCACAAACTTTAGTAAAGACTATCACTTGGTGCCTATTCCCTCTACGCTTTTCGGATCAGTCATTATAACAGCTGTGATTTTATCAAACGATCCTATGTAATCTCATAGTTAGTGGATCATTAAGAAACCTACACGCAATAGTTAATATTATAATAAATAGTCCAAACTTTTTAATATAACAATAGATTTTAAAATTTTTAAATATCATTTTCCACCAAATCGTAATATAAATATTTCCTTTATATTTATTAGTTTGATACACTGTCACTTTAACACATAATTTGTAGACTTATCAGATGATCCAGTAACTTAATCACATAATGACGAGCATTATTTACCGGATTAAAGTATTTTATGAAAGTGTCTATTAATGCAATATCTTTACTACCACACATTTACGTGATACCACGTGAAAACGCCGATCGCTGCAGCTCTGACATCTTTTTACTCTATTCATTTCGAAATGTTATATTTCAGTAAGCAATAGTAATGTGTAATTTAAAATAATCTACCACATAATATGACCGTTGCTTGGGTGCAAGTTCAGAGAAGTTTATAATAATTTATTTCGGAATGAATTGAGTCATGGAGTACAGAGGCTGGTCCCCGTCGATCTGCTGTGATACTGTAGCTCTTATCATCCAAACATCTTCCACATTAATCTAATTGTAAGACAATAGTATTTCTATTTACGATTGTAGTCGTTTTATATTTGTTAACCTTTACTGTATAAAAGGGATACTCTGTTTACATACTTAAATATTTACTTTATTTATATTGCAACTCTGTTACCTACTTATATTCGTTGAATGTCGTTTATATAATAAATAATTCTAAGTGAAGTGTGTGAAAAAATGCTACTTATTTTCAGATTTTTATTTTTTCTATCACCCGACCAATTTAATAAAAGTCGCCACTGTCGCCGCCCGGAGTTGAATTTAGGTCACGATCGACAAAGTGACTAAATACCATGATTCTTAAAATATCGCAGTAAGTGTAGATAAATACCCAGTAAATTCAATTTTAGTGTTCGATGGTAGCATAGGAAACTCATCCTGGTATCGAACATCATGCCTAGGATATTCGTGGATGATTAGATTATTTGTCTATCGAAACTAAACATGGCGTAGTGAAGCTAGAGAAGCTGCCGCTTTCAGCTTAGCAGGAAACAAAATACACCCAGCATTCATACAATTACTAATGCTCTGTCGACACAACAAATATTACATACATGATAAGGAGGATATTTTACGTCGAAGTGATTTAACGAAACCGAACGTGTGGCCAAGACGACGTCTACAGAACAACATAAACCAGAAGTGGCATTAAGAAGATGAGGAACGTGCGAGGTGAGCGCAGTACTGGCCGCGCACGTGCTAGATTTGTCTTATAATCGACCCGCACACTCGACGCCGCACTATCCCGTTTGTACCGTCTCATGTCTTGCGCATCGAGTGTCTGTTACCGAGTCTTGCTGTTGATTTAGAGTAGTGTAATGTCGCACATTTGTATGAAGAGCGCTCGCAACGACTAGTCTTAGCTTGGGGTGATGGCAGCACGGTACGCCGCAACCGCTGGAACACCTTGAACGACAGGCGCGCACCGGGCGGCGCTTGCGTTAAGTGATGCGACCGATACCTCACACTATCACAATGTACATAACCGCTCCGCTCTTGACTGTAGTTCATTGTTACGATTATTTATTATAAAATGAGAAATGCATGACTTTGCACAGTGTGTGCATATTGATTTAGAAAAGCACCGTGTAGGACTGAAGCCTTTGCGTGCGACACATAAATAAAAATATTCTTATAGATATCGTCAAATACTACATTTAAGAGAAATAATCGCACCTACGATAATATAGTATTTTATTAAAAGGATGTAGGATTTATTTTTAGATTTGAACATATTTATGACAAAATTAGAAATGAGCCATAATTTGAAGTTCAAATATATCAATCAATCTTTCGATCAATTATTTGTCCTAAATAAATTTAGCTGCCACAAAAAATAACATATATTTTAGATAAAAATAATATTCTTGTAATTATTGCATATATTCTGTAGAATATTAAACTGCATTAAAGTTTAGCAAGAATATAGCAATAAATTTTACGTTCATTAAATTTTTTATTTTATTCCAACCTTAGAGAACGTTAAAACATAGATAAACAAAAATTATATTGTAACCCCCTAGCTCAATTTACTGTGTCCCAATTGCAATAATGAGGCTTGAAATGGGATCAGCATGATACAGCTTTCTGCATGGCGGATAAAAGCGTCAAGTTTTATTAATATATGTATGCATAGAAATGCCGCATCCCGAATAGCATGTTATTTTAATGAAATATTTCGCAAACAAAATGAACACAATGAATAATGTTCCTTCTTCGATGGCGAAGATTGCATTGCTATGGTCACAGAGAATTATAAAGGATTCTTAAATTTATTAAAACCCCCTGCTAACGACTATAACTCAATATTCTTTGCTGCATGTTGAGGTATTAACCATACTCCTAAAATATACATAATGAATCTTGCATTTCAGATTGGCATTGTTTAAGAATTTATGTTCCCATTTAAAGAGATTATTTTTAGATAGGTATAGTAGATACATAAGAGCGATGTGCAATTTACTATATACAAGTGAAAATATGTATTCTTAAAATATTTAAGTTTTTTAGCTATAGTATTAACATATTGAAGTGTAGTACACGCTATGAATTTTGATTGCTGGGATATTATTAATTTAGTTTTTTTACAAGACTGCGCAGTTTTTGTTTTAACATTAGTTAAAAAAAACTGCGCAATCGTGTTGCACCGAAAAACCCGGATATTGTTTATTTCGCAAGTAAAAAACTACGCGCATAATCCACGCTGAAAAATATTTATGCGTTTAAAGAAGATAGCTTCATAATTTACTAACATTTAGGAACAAGAACGCAACGAGCGTGTTCGGGAGCGTCCGACAGCGCGCGCTCAGCTCCAGGTGTGGTTCGAGAGCGAACTGCGCAAACTGGTGGTTGTCCTGATCGCTGCCGACGACTTACCACCTCGTGACCACACCCTCGGCTACGGAGACGAGCCCGAGGCTTTCGCGCGAATTCGTCTATTGCCATCACTGTAAGCTTATCTGTTAAATTAATCGAGTTCTACCTATTATATTATTCAAAAAACTAAATCATTTTTAATTCATCTTTGATTCATATTGTTTTTAAAATTATTCGAAATTATCTTTTCTTTTTTATAGGATAGGGTGCCAAACGAGCACACAGTCACCTGATGGTAAGTGGTTGCTGTGGCCCATAGACGTCTACATTTATCCTCGTTTGCGAATCAAAATGCAGATGCGTTGTCACCCGTGAGGACTAAGATGGAATGCCTCTTTTCCAGTAAAAAGGGTCTCCGGTTCTCTACACTCACCATACGAAACACAGCAGTGTTAAGCTGTCATTTGACGCTGGTATTCTGTGAGAGTGTGGTCCTTCCCAGGTCGAGCCGACCCATTCGTGCTACAACTATACTACTAATACGAGTACAGCTGCAGCATGGCTTTACCACGTATTAAGGTTAATATCTCTTTGATTTTAATCTCTATTATCTTTTTGTGTAACACAGCAAATTATTTTTATCCTACACATACTTTTCTTATATTTGTCCCTCTACACTTGATATAAGAATATAATAGATTGAATAAAAAAATTAAATATAAGGGATTTGGAAAACTCTCGTAACACTCCACTACATAATAATTGAACTTGGTACCCGTTTTATTATCTTATGGTCTTTTGATAATAAAATAAATTTTGATTTTCACTGTAATAGTCTTTTCCACTTACTAACATGTTTTTGTATATTTTTTTTGACTAATTAATTGGACACTTGATTCGTGGTATAGCTTGGGGGCTAAGCGCTATCTTTGAATTTCACAGTACTCTAGAAACAAGGATTCGATCACCGCTGGAACCGATTACATTGTAAGTTACAGTTTAAATACTGACTTACCATGATGTGCTCGGCTTTTAAGGAAAACATCTTAAAATAATCTGGATGTCTGAAATATTAATAATTTATAATTAAAAATTTTGTGCAAACGACGTCAATATAGATTATTAAGAATAACTCAAAAAGTATATTTCAGACCTTGATCAAATTTGTGTGGGACTACATGAGAAGCACCAGCTTTCAAATAAAAATAGAATCATTGAAATCGGTTCACCCAAAAGAAAGTTATGAGGTAACACACATGAAAAAGAACATACAGTCGAATTTAATTCCTCCGCCTTTTTGAAGGCCGTAGAAAAAGGCAGGCATGGACACTTCCTTGCCCTAAAATCCTCTTAGAAATGAGGCGAGGCCTGTGCCCATCAGGGGTGCGTAGATAGGCTGCAACATTACTTTACCTAATTAAGTACTTGACACCATCATTACCAAATTTGCATCATAAATTTGAATTTGCTTCTTTCAGTAATGCCTAAAGTCTTGGTCAATTTGCTGTATTAAATTAGATTTCTATTGAGTATTTCGAACGAAAACGGGTTATTTATCAAAGAGTAAGTTTTTAACAGTGGTAGAGCCACGCGGCAGCTTTTGCTGTCGCACGGATGGGCCGGCTCGAACCGGGGTGGTACCACGACCTCACAGAATACCAGCGTGAAGTAGAGATTTACCTTTGCGTTTCGCTTGGTGAGTGCAGGTGGCCGGAGGCCCTTTTTACTGGATATGAGGCATTCCATCTTAGTCCTCACGGGCGACAACGCATCTGCATTTTGATTCGCAAACGATTATAGATGTAGATGTCTATGGACCGCAGCAGCCACTTACCATCAGGTGGACTGTGTGCTCGTTTGTCACCCTTATCCCATAAAAAAAAGAGTATCCAAATTTTATATTAAAGTTCAAATATATAAATAATGATGTACATTTATTACCGTTTTTGAAAATACAAGTAAATAAGGCTTCTACTTTTATTTGAAATTATCTCAAATTGAACGTGATTTATGGGCAACAACAACGAATATGTGTGTGCGTAGTAAAATTGTTGGCGTTTGATATTAATGAATGACAATCAGTTAAAATACTACTTTAACACGCATTCTAAATTTAAAATATAAAAAGTACACAATGTTTGAGATTTTTTTTTTATTAATTTGTCTTCACCTTTCCTATATTACTTATTCCGAACCTTCTCTGCAAATTTGGGCGCATATTGCAAAATAGATATAAGAGTAATATTTGTTTACACTTTCTAGGGAGAGCTGTCCGCCAGTTGAAACTGACCCTGCATCAGCATCGTGCAGTCCAGTTTGGAACGCAACACTCGGATTTGGTGGATTGACGGCCGATCTACTGGCTGGTCGCGCGCTCGAACTTACACTTTGGGATGCCTGTCCCGGCATCGACCCCGTTCTCATTGGAGAATGTACTGTAAGTTTAAACATTTTTATTATGAATGGTTTAACGTTTGGCCAAGATCCTGTACACCACATACACTTACAAGTGATAAACATTTTAGAAAATTACAGTTCGAAATTTGATTTAGATGATATTATAGTGACCTCAAAAGACGCACAAATAATGTAGAATTGTTTCGGACCTGTTAGAAACACTGCGGTGACTTCAGTGATATATATACTAATATACTATAATAAACTTACAATAGCAGCTTAATTCTGCAGTGCTTCTTATGGTGAGTGTAGTGGACCGGAGACCCTTTTTAACTTGAAACGAGGCATTCTAAGTCATTTAAAGTTGTTTAAAGTCAGAAAGATCAACATGACTCCCTCTCATTGACATCTTTCTAACATTACACGGTGAACCTGCCAGGATGGTAAATCAAATAACAATTTGTATGAGCTGAAATGCTGTAAAGGAAAAGATGGAATGAAATAATATTGGTCATTGTCATGATCATGTATGTAGGCGAGCCGCGTATGTGAAAGAAATGGCATAACTATCTAATAAAGCTAAAATGTTATGGAGTAAAATAAAGAATAAATAATGGTTAACCGAGAGTAAAAATAAAAAAGTGAAGATGAACAAATAATTTTTTTGCCGTGTAGTGGCGGTCAAGAATATCCACTACCCCATATCCTCCCGTGGGTGTCGTAAAAGGCGACAAAGGGAAACAGGCAGAAGATGGGCAGCAGCATCTTCCTGATAATAGCCAAAATTATAATAAAAAAACTGCGGTTGCCAACCCGCTCGCCAAGCGTGGCAACTATGGCAAATACCCCCCAATGACTAAAGCAACAAACAGACGGCCCCCAGTCCCCGGCGGCCCCGCTATTCCTGGCTACGGTGGCGACCATGGTAACGGCGGGGCAGGGGGTGCTAAGAATCTCCGGTGTAGGTTCGGTTGCCACCTTAGACGACTCGACCTGGCAACGTACAACGCACGCACCTTGAGGACTGACGAGAAGATCGTGGAGCTGGAAGAAGAGATAGACAAGTTGCGCTGGCATATTATAGGATTATCCGAAGTCCGAAGAGAGGGGGAGGACACGGTAATCCTCGAATCCGGCAACTTGCTCTATCACCGGGGCGACCATCTGTCCCAAGGAGGTGTCGGATTTATCGTCCACAAGTCTCTCGTTAACAACGTTGTAAAGATCGGGAGTGTGTCGACGAGGGTTGCGTACCTTATACTCAGAATCACCAAACGGTATTCGCTGAAGGTCATACAGGTTTACGCACCAACCTCGGCACACCCCGATCAGGAGGTGGAGGAAATGTATGAGGATATCTCTAGAGCCATGCATTCCTCCAAAACCCAATATACGGTGTTAATGGGAGACTTCAATGCAAAACTAGGCACAAGAGAGAACGGTGAGCTGAAAGTAGGGAAATTTGGAATAGGGCAACGAAACCCAAGGGGCCAGCAGCTGGCCGACTTCATGGAGAAAGAGGGACTCTTTATGATGAACTCTTTCTTCCAGAAGCGGCCCCACAGGAAGTGGACCTGGTCGAGCCCCGACGGTTCGACAAAAAATGAGATTGACTTCATTATGACGACCAGACGACAACTGTTCAGTGATGTCTCCGTGATCGCAAGGGTGAAAACTGGTAGCGATCACCGAATGGTTAGAGGCACACTGAACCTAAACGTTAAGTTGGAGAGGTCTCGTCTAATGAAGTCAACGCTCCGTCCCCCTCGTGCTCTAATCCAAAGTCCCGAAACCTTTCAGCTCGAGTTACAAAACCGTTTTCAGTGCCTAGAAGACTGCAATGAAGTGGACGATATGAATGACAAGCTCGTGGAAACTGTCCATGCGGTCGGAGCTAAGTTCTGCAAGACCCGCCGCAGAAGAACACAAAAACTCTCCGATCACACTCTTAATCTCATGGCTGTTAGACGGGAGATGAAGCTACATTCTTCAACAGACTTGACAGCATACAGGCATCTGAACAGACAGATCTCCAAATGCATGCGGCGGGACTTACGCAACTTCAATACAGCTCGTATTGAAGAAGCGATCGAGCGGAACCAAGGCTCCAAAGTCTTTGTCAGAGATCTGTCTGCCAGAAAGAGCCAACTGTCAAAGCTGAAGACAGAATGTGGCAGCATCGTTTCCGGGACACCTGAGATTTTGAGTGAGATTGAGAGGTTCTATGGGCAGCTGTACACGTCATCGTTGGAGCCACACGCAAGTGTGAGTAACGATCCAAGAGCGAGTCTCATCCGACACTATTCCGAAGATATCCCGGACGTCAGTCTGAGCGAGATTAGAATGGCTCTCCAGCACCTTAAAAACGGTAAGGCCCCAGGCGAGGATGGAATTACAGCGGAGCTTCTGAAAGCGGGTGGAAGACCGGTACTTGAAGTCCTTCAGAAGCTCTTTAATTCCGTCCTCCATGGTGGCATTACACCGGAGGCGTGGAGCAGAAGTGCGGTGGTCTTGTTCTTCAAGAAAGGTGACAACGCTCTCTTGAAGAACTACAGACCGATTTCCCTTCTGAGCCGCGTCTACGTGCTGTTTTCGAGAGTCATTACGAATCGTCTCGCGCGCAGACTTGACGACTTCCAGCCTCCCGAACAAGCCGGTTTCCGAAAGGGCTTTAGCACCATAGACCACATACATACCCTTCGGCAAGTTGTACAGAAGTCCGAAGAGTACAATTTGCCACTATGTCTGGCGTATGTGGACTATGAGAAAGCATTTGATTCCGTCGAAATTTGGGCGGTGCTGCAGTCCCTTCAGCGGTGCCAAGTTGACTGTCGGTATATCGAAGTGTTGAAGTGCTTGTACAGTAGGGCTACGATGGCTATCCGAGTACAGAACCAGAGTACGAAACCTATCCAATTGCAGAGAGGTGTAAGACAGGGTGACGTCATATCCCCGAAACTCTTCACCGCTGCATTGGAAGACGTTTTCAAGCTTCTGGACTGGAAAGGGTACGGTATCAACATCAATGGCGAGTACATCACTCACCTTCGATTTGCCGACGATATAGTCCTTATGGCAGAATCGCTGGAGGGCCTAAGCACTATGCTCAATGACCTCAATAGTGTTTCCCAACGGATAGGTCTTAAGATGAACATGGACAAAACAAAGATTATGTTTAATGTCCATGTCACACCTATGCCGGTAGTTGTTGGGAGCACTAAGCTCGACGTTGTTGACGAGTATGTTTACCTGGGACAAATAGTCCGACTAGGTAAGTCCAACTTCGACCGAGAGGTCAATCGACTCTTCAACTCGGCTGGGCAGCGTTCGGGAAACTACGACACATCTTCTCGTTAGACATACCTCAAAACCTGAAAACAAAATTGTACAACCAGTGCGTGTTGCCAGTGATGATTTACGGATCTGAGACGTGGTCCTTCACTGTTGGCCGTATGAGTAAGCTCAATGTCGCTCAGTGACCTATGGAGAGGGCTATGCTCGGGGTTTCTCTGCGTGATAAACTTAGAAATGAGGATATCCGCAGTAGAACCAGAATAACCGACATAGCCCAACGAATTAGTAAGCTGAAGTGGCAGTGGGCCGGCCATATAGCTCGAAGAACCGACAACCGATGGGGAAGAAAGGTTCTCGAGTGGCAGCCTCGTACCGGTAGGCGAAGTGTAGGGCGTCCCCCCACGAGATGGAGTGACGACCTGGTAAGACATGCAGGAAGTCGATGGATGCAGGTGGCTCAGGACCGTGCTTTGTGGCATTCTTTGGGGGAGGCCTATGTTCAGCAGTGGACTTGTGAAGGGCTGTAATGATGATGATGATGATGATGAACAAATAAAGAATGAAATGAAAGTTATAAATAGAATTTTATTTCACTATTTTCATTTATTTCATTATTTCACGTTCATTAACGCAATCAAGACGTTTATAAGCATCAACACTAATGACGGCGATAATGACATTCTATTGAAGAATCTACATTATGATGTAATCCTGTACTGCCTTACACTTATAGTCCACTTTCACCTCTATTCATTCGACGTTCATTAACGATTTTCGAAAACCTCTCGACTTTTCAATTATGCAAAGGAAGTCTGATTATTTTTTAACGAATTTCTCAGTTTTTAGTCGAATTTGAGTGCAGTATATGAGTGTTAGCTTCCGACAAAGTCATCTTTGCAAATTTACTCATAGTTATTTTTAAATAAGAAATTTGTTTTACTATCCTCCTTAGGTACTTAATTATTATGGTTTTTTTTCCACAAAATCGTAGGTTCTAGACCAGGGCAACACTCACCAAATTCCTTTGATTTTATGGAACCTCGCATCAAATGATTACAAATAAAAGACGTGTTATTTTAAATATTATTTATTTATATTAATATTTAAAAACGTAAGTTTTATTACAAATATTTTAAAAGTTAAACTTTTATCTAAAACTATCCAAGTAATATAATTTAGAAGTGAAATTATGAGAAAAAAACATTCTTTATTTAAAATTTCAATGTAAATAATGAAATTGTTTTACTGTTTCATTAATAATTGCTTTACCTAACTGTGGAATCATTGAACAAGCAAAAATAATTATTTTGCGGAACTCCGGTGACTTTACCCACATGTCTGAGTTATTTAAATTGTGTGTGAGTTATAAAAATCGAAGACATGTTAGGTTTATCAACACGAATTGAAGCAACGTGCTGGACATTTACTTGATTGATATAAACCCTCTTTGAAATGAAAGGAGGCCTGTTCCCAGCAGTGGGACGTATATATAATTTTAATAGCAAGAATTTTTCGAACAGTACAACAAGTTTAAACGAATAATCGCCTCTTAACTTTTGATACGTGGTAGAGTTTCGCTACAGCTATATTGTAGTTGTAGCTCGAATGGGTCGGCTCAACCGGGGTACCACGCTCTCACGGAATACCAGCGTAAAATAGCAGCATAATTCTGTTGTGTTTTGTATGATGAGTGTAGAGAAACAGGGACCCTTTTTACTGGAAACGAGGCATTTCATTTTAGTCCTCAGGGGTGACAACGCATCTGCACTTTGATTCTTAATCTATACAAATAAATAAAATTGAAGTGTCTGTTTGTAATGTGAAAATTACAGCTTTTTACTAAATGCATATGAAATTATATACAATACTTACCGATTTTAACGGGACTTTCACTGGCAGATAGCTGATGTCATAAGGAGTAACTTAGGCTACTTTTATTTTAGAAAAATTATTAGGGTTCCGCGCAAAAAATTAAAATCCTTTATAACACGCGGGTGAAGTCGCGGGGAACAGCTTGTTGATTATAAATGTAGATGTTTATGAACCACAACATCCACGTAACCATCAGATGGACTGTGTGCTCTTTTGTCACCCTTATTCTATAAAAAAAAACTAAAATATTGATTTTTTATCTTGTTATGGAAACTTCACCTAGCTCAGGTACCTATGGCTAATTCCCAGTTATAAATTGTGTCTATTTTTCTGATCTATGCAACCGTTATTTCCTATAGCGGGTATATAAATATCGGGGATACACTTTCTTTCCTACTAATATATAAATACCATATACATATATTTAGCTTGCAAAGAAATTTAAATTTAGGTTTTTAAAAATGTTGCTGTCGCCTGTACTCAAACCCGAACGGCAGAAATAAGTAACCAAGAGAGACAATTGCAGTTCGGGAGTCTAGGGAGTAATCATCATCCCTGAATCGTATTCCCTGTTTTCTCCTCCAAAATTGGACTGATTTAATTTTTTTCGTGAGCAATATAGGAAATATTGTGGCTATGTCTGTATATATTTTCTTTTTTATTTATACGTGAAATTTGTTTATTATAATGCATGTAATAGAAGGTTATAATAATGCATGTATGAAAAAAACATAGGAGCATAAACATGGTAGACTTAGATTGTATAGTAAAAAATATTTGCTCTTGTGTCAATATCCAAGAATCCTCTTAAAAATCACTTTTTTCAACCTATTGCCATTTTGCAACGAAGTTCTTATCTGAGGAGACTGCCGCATAAACTCCATAACTACGAGATACTCTTCTGTTTTTGACGTTTTAATATTACATATAATACATAAGACACTTTTGTTTTTAAATGTACAATAAACGGTACCCGCCCGAACTCTTATATATCTGGACTTTTTTATGTATCTGATTTGATATTATCGGATTTTTCATGGTTCCTTTCCACGAGAAGACATTATTTGAACTACAATTGTTTCCAAATTCTTACGAGTATTGCAATGTCGCGCAGGATGTCTTCTGCATAAGACTGAAATAAATTATGTATTTATGTATTACCCAGTGGTATATATTCAAAGTGAAATATATTCAAAGTTGTATCTTTTATCCTTTGTATTTATCTTCAAGAAATATATCTTCAATCTTTATTAATGAGGGCTAATAATTTTCTGCTCACCAGGTGCCACTAGTTGACACTGGGGTAAAATGTTTTGTTACACAATGTAATTTAATTGAGAAATTGGTTTTTAATAAAAGTTTACCAGTTTCAAGAGTATTATATTAATACACAAAACAATGCATCAGTGGTTTGCTGAATATCAGTGGTTTAGTTTATTTATTTTTAACCGTATCCGTATTAATATAAAATATAACTAATAGCACAGAAAGAAACAGTAAAATTTACATTGTTCGAACAAATAACTTCCCCACTATGAAATCTGTCAAATATTATAGCTCACTTTTAAGTGGCGCCACCCTGGTGGCAGAAACAGTCGTGGAACAGCCCTCATTGGATAGACGCAAATTATATATCTGCGTCTAATTTAATTTAGGCAAGCACGTTTAATTATAATGATAGATTTCCTGTATAGTGGAATATTGAAAATTAAAGTTACATTAAAGATGGAGCTGGAGAAGGCGTTTGCGGAAGAGCGTGCTGTATGGTGGACATTGGAGGAGCGGGGCACGCGGTCGGCTAACGCATCGCCGCGCGGATCACTCGCAGGTGCGCGTGCCCTTCGTCGCGGAGACTTCGCCTCGCAGCGTTCCATCTCCGGTAACCTAAAAATAATTACTTATTTTCGAATATCTACTGACACATATTGGCTAAAGGGGAAGCCACTAACTTTTGCAATACATCAGAAATACAGTATTGTGGCTGCATCACAAATGAATTTGCTTAAATGAAGAACAACTACGCCCTCACAGAATAGCGTTAAATAGTAACATGACGGTGTTGTCTTGTTTGGTAAGTGATGAGAATGGGAGTCCTTTTTTTGGTAACCGAGCATTCCTCATCGCCCTCAAAAATCAAAAGAATATTTTCTTTGGTGTAAAACTGACACTCAAGGAACTTAGGAAGACTTAAATTTTCGCGTGGTAGAGTCACACTGCAGCTATATTATGGTTATAGTACGAATGGGTCGGGCTGACTGGGTTAGCACCAGGCCCTCACAGAATACCAGCGTAAAATAGCAGCATAACGCTGCTGTGTGTCATATGGTCAGTGTAGAGAACCGGAGACCCTTTTTATTGGAAACGAGGCATTCCATCTTTGTCCTCAGGGGTGACAACGCATCTGCATTTTGATTCTTAATCGAGGATAAATGTTGATGTCTATGGGCCCACGGCATCCACTTATCATCAGGTGGACTGTGAGCTCGTTTGTCACCTTTATTCAAAAAAAATACGTGGATTGTTATGAATGGGTTGTTTAAGATAATTTTATTCAATAAGGTTAAGGTTAATTTTATTTATTTAATAATTTATTATTTAACTTATTATAACAGTTAAAAGTTATATTAATTATCTTTAAAGCACAGCACAAAAAGGAGGCCTAGATAATAGGAAACACTGTATATTGTATCATATCTCATTCTCTTCCAGGTTAATTCCTATAGATGTATATGTTTGTCTCTTTTTGGCGTTGCTTTTTCGTTTCATCGAGTTTCAAATAACAACGACGCTAAAGAAGTTTTCACTTTAATAGTAAAGTTACAGCTGTTACACGAGTTACTGCTGAGCAATGGCCTCCTCTCATTTCTGAGATGGTTATGGAGTTGGCGGATTTAACATTTTCTCAAGGGTTTTTTTTTCCTTAGAGATGCAGGTTTCCTCACGATATTTTCCTTCACCGCTAAGCATTTAGTAAATTAGCACTTAAAATTGCAATTGTTATTTCATTAATGTCGGTGTGGATTGAAACTGGATTGCCCTTCTGAGCTACCACGACTCTAATAATTTATTTTATATTATAGTGTTTTTGATGACACTATTCCTAACAGACGCACCAAATTAAATTTAATTTAATTAAAAGTTAAACTTAAAACAAAGATATTTAGAAAGATAATTCACTAGATGACGTAGACTCAATTGGCGAGTGCGCGTCCTTGCTACATCCTGACCATGCATGGGTAGCGGGCTCAAGACGAGGCTCTTCGCAATCTGAAACACTCGAAGTTGAAGTCTATCAGCTGGGGAAGGACTTCTCTCGTTCACTGCCTGGATCTCGTCGCTCTTCATTCCAGCAACAAGATAAAGGTAATGGGGTTTTAATATTTTTTGTTCAGAATTTGTATTTTTAAAGAAACTGTTTCGTAATCAATGAAATTGATAAATTTACTAAAGCAAGACATTCACAAATGAAACGTTGCAAATAAATTCGATTTTTTATTATATTTCATCATAATACCTGATGTTTCTCCATTTGTTTATTTACTGTGTAGTAGCGGTGTAAGAATATCTACTACTCCATATCATTGCGTGGGTTTCGTAAGAGCCAACAGAGGAAAACAAATTAAGAGATGGGCGTCTTTCTAATAACGACAAAAATAAAAAACTGCGGTTGCCAACCCGCTTGCCAGGCGTGGCAACTATGGCAATCTGTACTCAGCAGTGGACTTTAATAAGCTGTAACGGTAAAAGTAACGGATGTTTCTCCAAATCAAATCCTTTTACGTGGTAAAGCCACGCTGCAGTTATATTATGATTTTAGCAGCATTGGGTCGACTCAACCGGAGTAGGACCACGCTCTCACAAAATACCAGCATAAATAGCAGCGTTACGCTACTATGTTTCGTATGGTGATTATAGAGATCTGGACATCCTTTTTACTGGTAGGTATTGAGACATTCCATCTTTATCCTCAGGGATGATAGCGCATCTACATTTTGATTCTTTATCGAAAAAAGATGTAGATATCTATATGCCTTATTAGATATCTATTGATGAACTTACCATAAGGTGGGCTTTAAAAAAACGATATTGTTTAATCTTAACTTTACAGGCTTTTTATAAAAATATTTTAATCAAACCCAAAATAATATAGACTTTAAGAATCTATGACATTGCTTTTTAATCTGTCTGCAATACATACTATACGCTGACTTGTGTCATTCCAGTGCATCTAATTTAATATTAAAAAATTAAAGTATCAAGTTTACGTAAGCCATATTGTACACATAGCAATATATTACGTATCCCGATACAGTCTATCGGGGTAACTTTGATTAACAAGGGTAACTTTGACAGTCAAATCGCAAAATACTTTTTTATTTTTTACGTGCACAACATTCAGTGCATTACATTAAATTTATACAATTCGTGTACTTAACAAACTTCGTAAACGAACTTTCTGGAAAAAAAGAAGGTGTCTTACGAAGTTAATGCCAAAAACTTATTTAAAATTACCACGCGCAACTGTTGTCTTTTTGCAGTGGCAACCTTTTAAAATTTTAATTTTGATTACCAAAAAGTTTAAATAAAGATAGAACTAAAACTTTATGGTTTTATTGACTTGTATATGACTCCACTACTCAGAACAATAACTAATTCATAGAAGAAGCCTGTCTAACAGCTATATATATAGATACATCTCTTTTTTCTCAAAGTATGTCGGAAAGAGATAAATAAAAGTTTGTTAATAGGTACCAATATACATTCGGCAAACGTCAGTTTGGATACCTTAGTTACCTTTGTCCTACTAATTTAAAAAGAAAGATTTAAAAAAGCTTTTTTGTCTATGGCTATGTTCATCTTAAATTGTTCGTATAATACGTTGGCTTGTCTTCAGGTTGTCTGACTGTGTTAAAATTGAGTTTTCGCTTGGAAATTATAATTTTTTCGCAGTGTGAGTGTGAATCGAAAAATTAATAAAAAGAACAATGTCCTGCATTATAGTGGGATGTAAATCCCATTCCTCTAGGAAAGAAAACGACTCCGAAAACATTAGCTTTCACCGGTAAGTCATTGTGTCAACATTTGAAACACAATTTACGAGTATTTTCAATTGATAGAAATTCACGTTTCTGTCATTTTTACTTTAAAATCGAATAATCTTTTAATAAATTAAGTTTTTTGCCTATTTTTAAGTAATAAAATATAATAGTGTTGGAAAAATATATCTCTAGTATAAATTATCGATAGTTTACGATTAAATTTAGTTTAATTTAAATTAAATTGACGCTATTGCACGTCGCAATTGGAAGTGGAAAAATCACCACCGTATTTGTTCCAGACATTTTAAAGATGACTGATTTTATAAATTTTGAACACAAATGGCGCAGGTTGAAATTAAATGCTTTACTTCACTATATCTGCGGGATAACAAACATTATACAGTAAGATCCTTTTTACAATAAATCTGTTTATTATTTTGATTTGTTTAAGAATTAAATTACTGATTGCGCGGTGTTGATATTTTGACTGTTGAAATTAAGTATCCCACCCTTAAAATTCAAAATTGTTTATTATTATTTATTTTGTTTAATTCATACATTTCCTATAATGCAAAAATAACATAAAATAACTAAATAGTTCTAGAACTATAGTAGCCCTGCATCTACACTGGCGACTGTATCAACATCCAGTGTGTCTGAAAAGAATCCAGTGCGATACCGACAATTGCACCTACACCATCCAGTGCAACATCAACCAGCACATCTGACTCTAGTGCACAATTAACTACTACAGTTAGATTTAGTTCGACACCAAGTCAGCAAGAATTAATTAGTAGTGTATCTAAATTAGAACAGGATTTAGAAAAATTACAAATAATTGCCAAACGACGACTGTTGAAAATAAATTGTTTGCGTCAAAAGAGAAGACATTTAAAAAATAAAAATCTGGATTTAAAATTAAGATTAAAAAATTCTTCGAATGAAGAAAAATAGAAAAAAAATTTGCTCATATTAGATTCAGTGAAAAATAATCCAATAATTGAAAAATATCTACAGACAGAAATGGGAGACGATAAGCGTAAATACTCTTTGGAATTGAAAAAATTCGCAGTCACTTTAAATTATTTATCACCGGGAGCATACGAGTATGTGCGCAATGAGTTAAAAGATATTTTGTCACACTCAAAACCAATATGCAAGTAGTATCAATGTGATCAATGATTCACTACAGACGCCTTTGAAGCTATTAAAGAAAGGGTAAAATTAAATAATAATAAACCTTTATGTGTAGTGTTATCATTCAATGAAATGGCTATTCGCAAGTTGGTCGAATGGAACGGAAAAAATATTTTGGGTACGTCAATATCGGATGTGATTTGGATTCACAAGATATACCACTTGCTAAAGAAACATTAACTTTTATTATAACTGCCGTAAATGACACCTGGAAAATACCTGTGGGCTACTTTCTTATTAACTCAATCACTGCACAGCAAAATCTCTATTGGTACAGAAATGTATATCACTACTAAAAAATTCTGAAGTTGAAGTTGTGTCGCTCATTTTTGACGGTGCTTCAACCAATAAAGCTATGTGCAATATTTTGGAGTGCAATGTCGATGCATTCAATTATTCTTTTAAAGCTAATGATGATGAGTTATTATATCTGTGGCCAGATCCTTGCCATAACATCAAATTAATACGTAACACATTTGGGAACAAAAAAGTTTTAGTTGAAATACACGGGAAAACAATTTCTTGGAAGTTATTAGAATTGTTAGACAAAATTCAAGGCAGTGAAGGGCTTCATTTGGGTACTAAAATAAAAACTGAACATATTAAATATGTAAAGCAGAAAATGAAGGTGCGTTTAGCTACCCATCAGTAGCAGATGCTCTGGAATTTTGTAAATTACTCGGAATTCCTGAATTTGCTAATTGTACAGATACAATAAAATTTGTCAGAAAATTTAATAACCTCTGATATAATGAATAGCCGAAATATGCGGGCAAAAGGATGGAAACGTACGTTAACAATATTTAACTTTGACGAAACCAAAATATTTTTGAGTTCGCTAAATAATATATAAAAAATTTAAAATTTACAGATGGTTCGTTCATTATCAATTCTAAAAGATCGGCAGGTTTTCGAGGATTTATAATCTGCATGAACTCTTTAGTTGGTTTGTACCAAAAATATTTCCTCCCAGAAAATAGTGTTTTAAAATATCTATGTACCTATAAGTTCAGCCAAGACCATATTGAATTATTATTATCATTATTAACAGAGCTATAACACATTACATATTGTTGCATACTTTTATTAATCGCTTTTATGTTTAATTTATTTGTTTTGTTTATTGCTTTTGTTGTTTTATTTTTTATTTTTGTTTTTTGTAATTAATTCTATTTGTATAGGTGATGGTGCATAATAATATATATTTTTAAGAGCGTGTACTCGCCGACAAACTGATTGCAGTTTGGCGAGAGAATAGTAGAAATAGTGTACTTACATTTGTATGAATAAAAAATTGAAGAAAAAAAACTGTTTTCCGGAGTCATAAGGTCTAAATGTGGTTTTAATAATAACCCATCGGCAAAAATGTACAGGGCTGCTTATAAACGGTTGCTGGTACATGCATAGCTAAAAGATGATTCAACAGGGAATTGTTTTCCTCTAGAAAATGTAACAATGTTAAATTAAAAAAATCAAAAATATAAACAAATTAAATTCATCTACTGGAAACGGTAGACTAATTGACTTGCTTGATGTGAACATTAATTCCGAGGATTATTCTCACCATGATTATATTTTACGTGCCTCAAACTTAACACGTAGTAGATTATACAGCTGGTTATGTAGTCAGAAAAATAAAAAAGGAAGTCATATGTGAAAAATGCCTCCAAAGTTTGGAAAATGACAGTGCTGAGAATCAGTTTTCTTTGATATCTATTAAAGAGAGAGGAGGCCTAACTAAACCTTCGGACGGTGTAAAAAAGGTGTGTAAAACTGCAGAAACTATACTGCGCGAGTTCGAAATTGGAATAGGCTCCAAATTCTTAGGACAGCCTAAATATTTTTTAACAATGATTAATAAAATATCAAAACAATTATTTTTAAAGGACAATAATTTATTTATTTATTTCGTATTATAAGGCGCTGTACATGGGATTTGTGAGAAATAATAAAAAAATAAATATTTTTAATATTATTGTTGTATTGATTAATCTCAGTATTTCCAATTTGTATAAAAAGTACTCTGTGGTTTTTATTAAGGTTGCGGTGCCAAGATAGCGCTCGATGTTTTTTCAGTAGTTTGGTTAAAAAAAATTAAAAACTTGAACGCTACTGAAATTATGGCCCAGCCCGCCGTGCCACCTTAGTATAATGATGATAGTCATGTAGAGATATTAAACTCTGAAAATCACAGAAACACCATATCATAAATCTGAAGATGATTCCACACTTTCATGATTTTACCATAGACGAAAATACGAGTACCGATATCGGCATTAATTATTTGTACTGGTACATCACTAGTTAATACTCTTTTGTCTATGACAATGTACGTTTTAATTATCTAGTACTACTTCTATGCTTTAGTTATTGTTCTGAGCTCCACTACATCTGAAATTTGTTAAAAAAAACGTTGTTTGGTAAACTTGTGTTACCCTGAAGCTATAAAATGTTTAAAAGATAAGATTCCTGCGACAAATCTCATCTGTGTTAAAAGTTATCCATATAGGGGTTATAACTTTGACACACAACAAAATTGCCAGTATTTGATATATTTTATGATTTTTATAGGCTTCAAATATCTTGAGAGTATGAAAACTAACTTGAGATCAAAGATTAAGTATACTCTTTTGTCTCATATTTAACATAGTAAAAATTAACTAAAAAAAATATAGTGATGATCTGTTAAAGTTACCCCGATTGACTGTAGCAATTCAATCGTCAATCGGATATACAATGTTTGTAAAAGAATAACGTCCTGCAGACTGAATTTTGGTAACGGCGGCCAATTTCACTGGAGACCAGACTAGACAGGATAATAGTGCACGAGAATGTGCACAAGCACAGGTGCACTCTATATCCTCTCGCTCTCATAGTCCGATGGGACTGCAATCGAAAGTGGGAGATCAGACGCAAGACCAACGGCTCTACGTATTTTCCGAGAAACGGGGCTGAAACACCGCCAATTTCTTGGCTGAAAAACCCAATTACTAAATTTCGCACGACCCAGGCTCGAACCGGGGAGCACATGACCCAGGTTCGAACCGGGGATCAGTCATGATAATACAGTCAGATCATCATGATGCAGTCATGTTAACATTAGTATTATTCCAGTTTTATGAGCAAGCTAACTAAATATAAAAAAGCTGGTTTTAGAAGACAATTATTGAATTGTGGATGTATTAATCATATAGTTACCGTCGCCCCAAACGTTGACACGTGACGAACAAAGTCACCAATCTCTCCGAAGCACTTTGAGACAATGACCCGTTCGTGCACTGAAACGTATACCGCACGCCTATTGATTCATCCTAGATCACAAATTCACACATATCCTAAAAACGCACTGCCATAACCCATAAGTACCGAAATCTATTAAAGCTTATCTATCCCAAACGCATAATGAAACGTGTCTTGATCGCATATACAGAGTTATTTTTCAAAGAGTAGCCAAATTTTATTTGAAATTATCCCAAATTGAATGTGATTTATGGGCAACGACTGCGCGTACACGCGCTCCTCTGTATGCGATTCAATTTTCACAACGTTTTTGCCGACCGAGCCGTAGTACTATTATTTATTCTGTGACAGGGCGACCCTTACGAATGTGTACGTGTGTAGTAAAATAGTAGGCAAGATATTTATGAATGACAATCAATTAAAGTTATGCATTACCACGCATTCTGAAATTAAAAGATAAAAAGGACAGAATGTTTGAGATTTTTTTTACGAATTTTTCTTCACCATTCGACTATGTTACTTAATTTGAACCTTTTCCGCAAATTTGGCCGTATACTGCAAAATAACCCTGTATAAACAAGTGTCGCAAATGTTTACAAGAATCCTAAGTGTGTATCTATGTATCTATATAAAATACAAGTTTCCCGGAGACACATTGACACAATTTCTAGAACTCTCTGACAAGTATCGCAAATGCGCACTAACATGTCTCCCCCTCGTCACACACTGACACGACTCCCGGGCTGCATGCAGACGGTGCTGAGAGTGTCGTAAGTGGGTCGCGGCGCAACGAGCGTCGACGTTCGTCGTGCGTACGCCGCGACCCCGACGATATCCTGCGCTCGCTGCGCGCCGTCAAGGGCGAGCTCGGCCGCACGCTTTCGCTTTCAGGGTCTACGGCTAAGCGTAAGTCTCATACACGCTTAACCCCATTTTTCCCCTCCTTCTCCCTCCACCAACCCTACTCTTTTATCATCCCACCCCATTACAACATAGTTGTCTCCTGCTGTTGCTGCTGTCCAGCTTTCCCTCTATTAAGCTTCACTCCAAATATAACCTTGTGTTGTTTTTTAACTAAGTACTAAAATGTATTGTATGTAATTGTGTAGACACAATAGTTTAGATATGAATCGATCCCCTATTCTTGTTTCAACACCATGTATATCTATATAGCGGCTGGAAAAAAATCATCTATGATGTTCTTTGGTGTTCTTTACAACATATAATCGTAAAATGCGAGTGCCCAACTTATTAATTAATAAGTAAAATCTCGCGCCCATTTAAATTGTCTTATATTAAATTTTGTTTGTGTATATATACGTTTTGACGTTATTTTTAAACTAATGGGTCTACATTAAATGCACTAATTAATGACAACAAAACTATAAATTATAAACTAATGGGTAAATGTTTAATGTACAAATTATCAATGATAATATTATCATCTTTAAGTATTAATCCATTCTAAAACATTGATTACAAATTCAAATAATCTTAATGTAAAATATTTTTAGATTCTTATTAATTATTGAATGATCTATTAACCTTGTTTAGGTTACTCTTGCTAAGGACAAAACTGATTCATATAAAATAAATGTAACTATAATAAATAATATGTAATCTTTATTCTCAAGTAGCAGTATTTATGGCAGCAACAAACAAAAAACACTAAACTTGAGGGTACTGACATGTACTGTGTTGTGCTTGTTTGGTCTGCAGCGACGGGCCGTTAGCACCTCGGTAAGCGAAGCCCGAGCCCGCGCCCGCGCCCGCGCGTGCCCGCTCAGGGTTTGTGTGTGCGCGGTATCGGTGTACACGATCCCTTGTGACGTCCGTCGGCCGACAACCCCAAGTCCCTTTTCTGTTACTTTGCCTTTCCCGATCTGAACCAAGCATTCCACCTCGAATATGTTTTAATGTATCTTCGAGATGGGACACTTGACTCGGTCGGTCCCGGTCGAGTACAGGATAGGATTTCGGGGCAAGTAGTAGCATGGGTCATACATCGCTTGCGCGACGGCCGCGCGCACGCACCGTTGAATGTGGCTGCGCCCGACGCTTTTCATCACTTCACTGTGTCTGTTCTGTTCTGTCCCGACGCATGCCCGGCGGAGGGCGATCACGCTCACTTCATCTGTTTCTATGTACCAATTGTTCAACTGCCCGTCTCCGTTCATATCAATGGCATTGTCTCGCCTAGGACACCGGAACTCATTAATTTTGCGAATGTCACTCATTGTTACGATGCGCCTTTTATTAGATATCCTGTACATAATATTAACATAACCTTAGGCCGTAGTTGAAGATTCAAAATTATTTCGATCGTTTAATTTTAAATAATTTTCTAGGCTAGGGAATGACTGCTTAGGTGAACGCTAAGGCGGTCGACGTAGGTGTCGCCGCAGTAGGTCGCGGTCGCGCATGACGTAGCTCGGCCGCGCCGCCGGCCGGCGCGCGCCTTGTACATTAGCTCTCTTCACAAAGACCGCGACTACCTTATTCTTATGGCTGTTCATAACACGGAATGCTTATCCATATACTGAATTAAAGTGCGCTTCAGGCAACTATTAGCAAATCGACTATACTCTTGGCTGCTCACGATGAAACGCTTCTTCTTTCATGTTTGTGTTTAGGAAAGGAGTCGATTCAAATTTTATGTAAACGATACTCTATACATTGGCACGAAGCTGTTTGACGTGCTTATTTTATGTTATTTATTTTTCAATGTACGAATGAATGGTTTAAATTACTTTGTTTGTATTGTTTCGTTGAGTTGTATGTTTTGAAGTGAACACGATTACAAAAGTGAAGCTCTACTATGTCGAGTAGATTGTATGGTTGGTTGAGAGCCAGTAGCTTGGAGCGAGAGAAAAGGTAGTGGTGTGAGCGGAGTGGGCAGTACGGGCGAATTGTGGCGCGCAGGCACGGCGACGGGACGCAAGGGCAGCATGTGGGCGGCGGTGCCCCTGGCGGCGGGCGCGCTGGCGCTGGGCGACGCTGACGACGAAGTGCCGCTGGGCCCCGGACAACTGCCGCCGCGCAACGCTTCACTGCCGCCTCTGCATGCCGAGATCAACATCAGCATCATCATGATCAAGGGGCAGCTCGAACTCGAGGTCAGAATCATTTTTATCCGGTTTCAATATCATTAACTTATCAACTAATTATATAAAACACAGTCCCTTATACACGTCAGTGTTTGCTTAAAACTTTAAAAAAAAATCTTAAGGCTTTTGTCACGTATAATTTTTACATGTTAATTTGACAAATCAGCTTGCATTCCACCTAATAGTAAGTACCAACTCCAAACAAAGATGCGCAGTAACAGCGATATTTCCATCCAGCATTCAGCAAAGGAGCGTTTTATGCAATGAAAGTAGTTGTCTGTACCTTTCAGATTGTAATGCCAGCGGATGCACAATATAAATGTCTTTAACCGCGATATAAAAAGGTGAATGGGTAGCATCTACCCAAAAAGTCACCTAAATTAACAAAATTATATACTCGTAATATAGGATAAAGAATATCAAAACCAGAAAGGTCGAACAATACCGTTACAGGTATTTTTGAGAAATATTTTGCTGACATTCCTATCATGCCTATAAAATCATTGATTTCTTCTCTAACTGTTGCTTAGAACAATCTTTTTTTTTTTTATTATATTGTAGACTTTAGCAAAATATATAATTAAGGTACAGAGAATTTCAGATCTATGGATGATTTCTCTTAAAATAATTGCGTCTAAAATTAAAAAAAATGCACCACATCTAGTTTTTTTTTTGATAATAACACCGAGTCTCGTGTGTTACTTAAATAACATTATTTATTGAAAGTTAGACTTTTATTTAAATTTAGTAGAACTTTAGAACCTGCTGATTTACCACTACGTCGTAATTTTGATTTTTTTTTCTAACTTCATCAAATATAATCAACTTTTTGAAAATACATACAGCAATCAAAAAAAAAAAAAAAGTTATAAATATGCGATTATCGGCTGTGCTAGGTATCTCACGCCCGCCGAGTGTACGGTGTTAACGGCGAAGTGCCTGATTCATACGTGAAGTGCTACCTGCGTGACGGAGACAAATGGCTACACAAGCGGAAAACTCGTGTCATTCGCCGCACCACGGAGCCGCACTTCAAGCAGACGTTGAAATACCAGGTGAGGCTTGCAGCTCTATCTTAAATAATTTAAAAGAAGTAATTGGTAACTCTTAATTATCTATTAACAAACGTCATCATCATCATCAGGATCATTTTTATTACAGCCCTTCACAAGTACACTGTTAAACAAAGATCTATCCCAAGAAATGCAACAAAACACTATCCTGAGCCACATGTATCCGACTTTCTGCATCACTTACCAGATCAACGCCATCTAGGGAGCCGCATTACGCTCCGCTTAGTACGAGGTACTTTTTCAAATGTAGTGCTACCAACAACTACTGTCATTAGTGTCTGGGACTCTCAAAAAAGTGTACATTCGAAAAAGTGATGTAACAATGGTTGCTACCAGGGGGAGTCAATAGAAACAAAACACGCCTAAAGATTGACATGCACCTTGCCCATGACCATTGTCTTGTGTATGTTCATCTGAGACCAATTAGAGGCACTATTAAGGCCATTGAGCATAGTGCTACGGCTGTAATGTCGGAAAGTGTTGAATGAAAGGGACACGTGTTGCTCAGTTCAAGACTTTAATTATACTGTTCGCTTATTCTACACTTAATACTAATATCATACTATATATTGTCGGCGGTGACGGGGTGGCTACAGGGCACTACACCTCCCACCGACAAAAAAATAAAAAAGGGAATGATTACATTTTTGCATGCCTTAAGCGCAAAGCGCGTAGGTATGTCTAAAAACCAAGATTCCAACGTTTATCGCATGAAATCCTATCTAAAAATCATATTGAACATATAAATTATATAAAAAGCACATTGTCGGAAAGATAAATGATTTTTGAACTTATTTTTTTTTAAATCGATCAATTGCTATTTTTACATGAAAAGCGGTTTTAGTGGCATAAGGTGTAGATTTATTAAGTCCGCGTGGCGGCGTAAACACGATAACTTTTGAAAATATCAATTGTTCAACTTTGTAAACTCTTCATCTATCATGTGGGAAGCCATGGAATGTAAATGGCAGTTTAATTTTGTTTTGTTTAGTTATAATTAATTTTTTTCGGCTGAGAAATAGCGAAATTTTCGGTGTTTTGAACAGCCATTTATTAATTTATTTTACTAAATATACTTTGCCTGCCACAGAGTACTTTTTTAATCCGGGCTCAGCCGCCGTCGTGAGTGGTCGTTTGTTTACAGCGGTTCGTGCTGAAAAATATCGATCGCTTTAGAAATACAAAATATTCAAAAAAACCATATTTGATACATACTTGACCAAGGTAAAATATTATTATTATTTTTATAATCACAGATTTTTATTACAATATTTTGTTTCGCTAAAAGTACGCAGGATTTATATATAAATATACTTGTACGGGTTGAACTTTATGGAGACTTGAAGGTGTACTTCGATATCTGCTACTGGAACTCCTCGACGAGTAGAACTAGGTGTGCCGAGATTGTGCTCGTTATTTTAGTTATGATGAGACCTTACCCAGATTTGAAGGTGTAATTCGGTGAATGCTACTTGAACTCCTCGAAGAGTAGTAATAGTAATAGGTGTGCTGAGTTTGGGCTCGTTTTCTTAGTTACGATGAGACCATACCTCCGAACAGTGGCGGATTATCCTTAAGGCAAACTGAGCACGTGCCTAGGGGCGCAAGGTTAAAAAGGCACACGTGGAAGTTTTTAAACGAAAAAAAAATCACAATTTTCATTTATGCCTCCCTGTTAATAGTACTCATATCCTAATTACTTTGTAATTATTGAACTATATTATAAATTATAATATAGTTTATTTGCAAAATGAGTATATTTAATAGATATAATATGACCCCTAGAGGGGTGCTGATGAGGTGCTAGGCTAGCCTAGGACGCAGTCGATATTTAATCCGCCTTTGCCTTCAGACTTGATAGAGTGACCTGAAAGTGTACTTTGATTTTGATGAACTATATGTACCGAGTTTGGGTTAGTTATGATAAGACCTTACCTCCGGATTTGATAGACCGACTTGAAGGTGGACTTTGATGACTGCTACTGGAACTCCTCGACGAGAACTAGATGTGCCGAGCTTGGGCTCGTTTTGTTAGTTATGAATAGACCTTACCTCCGGACTTGACGAAGTGACTTGAAGGTGTACTTCAGTGACTGCTACTAGAACTCTTTGACGAATACAACTACAATTTACATTTTTTTTTTTCACTATCACATGAGCATTATGAGTCATGCTCCTTTGAATTTTCCAAACTTTTTTTAATTGAAGTTTGACATAAAATACAAGTTGCAATCCTAGCCACGTAAGCGATTTGTGACAGTTTTGTTTCAAATTCCAAAGTACGTTTATGGGAACGTTTACGATTACGTCATACAAAATGTTTTATTATGGGTACACTCAAAAATATTTGAAAATTATAATATTAAACACTTTTTAATGTGCGTAGTTAACACCGTTACATTGCATTGCTATAATACTTTTACCTATATTATCAAGTATTTATTATAGGTTTATTATGTTATTTATCATTATTAGAGTCAAAACGCATTATTATCTTTTTTTTTTAAATATCATGACTTCTAAGTGTTTAATATGTTTAAGTGTCTAATATGTTTATCTTATTTGAAACATAAATAAAAAATACGCTATTACACAAATATAAGTTTATATAGCAAAATATATGTTATATGTTAATAAAATATTATTAACGTTCTAAAAGAAACGTTTTTAAGTAGATAGTAACATAACTTTTAGTTTCATTGTCTATAATAAAGAAAGAAGAGCTATTATTATTTTATACGTGGTAGAGCCATGCTGCAGCTATATTAGTAGTATAGTTGTAACACGAATCGGTCGGCTTGACCATGGAAGCACCACGCACTCACAGAATACAAGCGTAAAAAAGTAGCTTAACATTACTGTGTTTCGTATGGTGAGTGTAGAGAACCGGAGACCCTTTTTACTGGAAAAGAGGCATTCCATCTTAGTCCTCACGGGTGATAACGCATCTGTATTTTGATTTTTGAGGATAGATGTAGATGTCTATGGGTCACAGCAACCACTTACCATTAGGTGGACTGTGTGCTCGTTTGTCATCCTATCCTATAAAAAAATTACGTTATAAAACTCTAATAATGGCGTATCGATACACTTTGGACTTGATTTTAATAAGCAATATATAATAAACCAAATTTAGTTTATAATTGTACAAATTTTACATGAACAAAAAAAATCATAACATAAAAGAGTTTAAGGTTAAATTAAGAGTTATTGTAAATGTGAAAAAAACCTTGTAAATTCATATAAAATATATCTACGCGAAATGTATTTATCATGTTTAATTTTTCTTTTTTTCACGTGTGGTTGTGTGGAACGATCCTATAGTTACTACATACGTAACTTGTAAATAGCATTTTGGGTAGCATTGTAGGTAGCACCCTAACACAATAATGCAAAATAACTACATAATATCTCACTTTTTAGATTTGGCCGGGGATCCCCTTATTACCTCATTTTAATTGTTCTCATGTCCCTGCATATTAATTATTTTCATACTAACACATCTCATTACATTCCTTTTCGATTGTCAGGCCTTTTTTCATAATTCTTCTGCGTACTTTCTTTTCTTTTTTTTAAATTTTTGATCTTTATCTAGCTTTATTTCTATTTAGTTATACATTTATTTATTTATTAGATATCGGAAATCAGAGTTTTGATTCACTTCATTTATATTTTACTTCATGATATTTAACACGCGGGTACTTTATTCATAATTAATTCATATATATTTACTTGGGTATTATATTACATTTTCATTACATTAATTCATTAATTAATTTCACTTTTTTTTAATTCTATATCAAGGTAAAAGTGTATCTTGGGTTGTGCGCACAACTTTGAGGTCTACGTTTAAGTCATTTTAAAAGGACAACAGAACAATTGTCACAGAGGAAAATTAAATTCATACTATGATGTAATAAAGGATGTGACCTCTATGTACCATTATCAAGGGTAACAAATTTAAGACTTCTCTGGTCCCTAACAGTACTAATATGAGTAAATTCATTCACGTCACTTGTACTGAAGGTATTGTACCCTAGTATCCGTTACTTCCGATTTTATCATCCAATCGTGGAAACATATCCTGCTCGAGGACTATATTATGTTATACCAGTGATGGACGTTCCCGTATCTCTCCATTAATATCATATCAAGATCAACTTTTGTTTTATATTTATTCTCTTCGTAACTCTTATTTCATTCTTTATTTATACATTACCGTGTTCTTTATTAACATGTTATTATATATTTGACTCTTTCGATTATTTTTATACACTTGCATGCCCCACATACAATACTAACTTGCATTATTCTCGTTCATAATGAATTCCATACCAGGAATTTAAGCATTCATCAATATTTGGGTGATCAGTCCAATATTGACGAAACTTAGCGACTCAATCATTCGTATTCACACTTTTGAACATTCCTTTTTTTCATTCCTCACACCTTTTAAGTACACACTTTCTAATTTTGTACAAATATTGGGAAACATTTTTGTCACTCAATTTTCTGTCTGTGTTTAACTTTGTTATGAAACATTATTATTAAAACCTTTCATAATTATTTTATTCCGTAGTACCTTAAAATGATAGTTTTAAATTTTTTGTAATTGACACTGAAGGGTAGATGGTTACGTCGTTAATAGTTACATTGCTTTTACTTATAATCTGAGAGTACTACATTTAGGTAGTTTAAAATTCATCTATATCTGTACCACATCACTGTGAAAAAAGTTACGGCTGTAGAGAACGTGCAACCTGTTATTTCTTCCACCTTCATCTCTGCGCAGTAAGCACTTTATACATAATGTCCTTTTTAAGATCATGGGGTGGTAATTATCAAGACATATATTGCCAAGTTTACTATTAATACGAGGCTAAAAGTAATAGGTATTGTACAAATTATTACAACACTGATCTAAAATAATTCGAACTATATACACAGATATTTACATGGTCATATATGCGCATACATACATGCTAAAGCCCAAAACAAGAATTTAGTCTTAAAATCTATATTTCTTAATAACCAATCACAGCGCGAGGAGCTTAGGCCCCCATCCGCTGTCGGCATGCTTCGATAAGCTATCTTTCTCGCACTTACGTCTGGGAATTGTTTAAGACCGCTAAATTCGTCTGGCGATTTGCAAGTATTATTAAAATTTACTCATTAAATTCGTGATTAAAATTCAAGATTGTCAAAAGTATATTCTTTGGGAATTTAACGAAATAACCGCAAACGCTCTGACAAACTCGCGCGACTGGATCCGCCAATTGAGGAAATTATATTTTTTCACAATTTCAACTTGCCCAAAGGACCTTCCCGAAATTCGTCGCCAGCTCCCAGACTATTATATTGAAAAATGTATTAGCTTTTTTTTTTTAAATGTAAATTTATAACACCTACATCTGTGACAAGTATAAGCAGGAACTGGGACCAATTTTTTTACATTATCTTTTCAGGCTAGCGAAGCCCTAGGCCGTACACTGGTGGTAATGCTATGGCAGCGTTGCGGCGGATTCGAGCACAATCTTGCGCTGGGCGGCGCTGAGATCTGCCTCGACAAGCTAACCCTCCCGCAGCGTACCTACGGCTGGTACCCGCTGTTCGCAGCCACGTCGTTTGTCGCCGACGAGTCGCCCGACTGATCACGCGAGCCGTCGCCGGAGCGCCGTGACGACTAGCGCGCCCACGACGGCCACCAATACCCTTGATGATGATATCTTTGACCAAAATATCAAAATAATAAAATAGACGTAGCGCGTAGAACTAATAACTGACGATAGCTTAATGAATACCAAAAAGAAAAATCTCGGAGTTTTTAAATCGCCTGATGAATTCATACTACACCATGGAAAGACATAATGTTAATTATTCTTTTTAGTAAGATCATAACCAACTCTCTTAATCGTGACTCCTGATCGACTGATCTGTCGATATTGTATTTTCTTAGTTCTTCGCTTTTTAGTTCAACGCGCTGCGTTTCCATAGCTCCTAATATTTCAAATGACTAACGACAATCTACAAGTTTTTCTAATTTCCAGGACAATTAAAAAAACTCTACTTGGAAAATATTAATTGTGGACAATTACATGTTAATTTATTGGTAATTAGTGAACGTTGTATGTGTAAATGAAATATGTGACTATTATAACTCAATAAATATCTACTGACATTGTATCCGCAAACAATCATTGAATACCTATAAATGTATTTAAATATATAAAGGAGCTTATAGATTGCTTTTATTATAAAACTATATGAATTATAGTCGCAACATCGAAATTTCTAATTGAGAATAATAACTAAAAAATAAGTGGAGCATGTTAATCAAGAAAATAACATATTTTATTGATTTATACTACCTAATATGTCTGTTTAATGCTTAGACAACATCGATCACTAATAAAAAAAGTGATCAATGTTAGACAAAGAACAAAAATTACGTTTGAACGAGAACACGGTCTAAAATAATTTGAAATATAAAAAGCATAATCGACCTCAAATTATTATATTTGTAGATATTTTATATGTTGTATCAGCGTAATGTAGTGTTTTAATGTTATTGCATAAGAACTAAACCAATAGAACAAATACTTTAATAAATCAAAAAGTAAGTAATTTGTGTAGGTAAAGCCTTCTGTATTTTGTTTTGCTACTATATTTGTTATACATCTAGATAACTAAATTTAAGTCAAATTTTGAATATTTTATGGATTATTCATATAATATTACACTCTGCAAAGAATATAGGAGCACAGTACAGAAGTCATAGCATCTTAATTTTCACATACATTGTAAATATCTAAACCACGTCTGGTTTGCTAATTTAGTTTTAAAATTCTTATTTATTTTTAAACTTTAACTAAATGTTTTATTAGTAGTGATGTATGGCACTAGTGCTCGGTACCACACTGAGCTCCATTTATAAAAAAAATATAGCTAAATTCAGTACTTACTATTAAAAAAAGCGTAAAATGTAGTGAAATGAGTGTTTAAATACGGTTTGGTGATTTACCCCAAATACCTTTTAGCGTCATCAACACCAAACCCCATCTTCAACACTTTGCCTTATCTATATAGACCTTTAAAATAACTAGTAAGTAAGTGCATCTAGATACTATTCTTCCAAGGTTGTGCTTAAGTGAATTTTCCCTACATAACTTTTCTACAACGGTCGTAAATGTGCTCATTTCTTCATGTCTAATGTTAATATTTACAAACTATAAATATATTTTTTTTTTCAAAAATTTCTACGCACATCTATTTTCATGATAGTATTTGTCATCTTTTATAGTATTTCCAGAAAAACACTAAAATGAAATTTGAGGAATTCCCGTTACCGTTACCAATATAAATTATTACAAATATATATAAATTACTGTGTTAAACATTGCATCACTGATTTCCTATGTTATTGAACATGATTTTATGTAACACATATAATATTAAGTAGAAAATAGTATTAGAAATCGATCCGTAGACTTGGCACAACAAGACTTCATTGGCCTAACTAAAACTTCTTTTAGTTAAATCGACATGTCCTTGTGGATGATGTATGATCTTTTTATCGTCGATCTTTAGACATAAACTACATATCTACATAAATTTTTTAAATGTAATATATCTTGTGACTCGTTGAAATCTGTGTTCTTCCAATGCTGTCTTAGAATAGTTGCCTGACAATATAATATGTATGTTTATAAATATATATAATATATACCTACTTTGGATGTATCTTGAACTCACTATAAATATACCCCGTACGTATTCGCGAACGTATAACCTACGCAAAAGGGTAGGATCTTATTTAGGCAACGCTGGCGATACGCGCCTTATGGCCAAATACTCAAACGCAACTCAATTTTAAGATGCCGTTGCCATCTCTTTGGCTTAAAGTGATAGAGACAGCACGAGACTTTAGGCATCTTAAGATTGAGTATCTTGTGAGTATTTGACCATTAGTGTTTTACTAATGATTATATAGATACTATACTTATACACCTTGCATTAATTTAACGTAATTGTACAATTCCTGAGAGAGAGAATAATATAGATATATCTTGAAGTCCTTGTAAAAGTCTGCAAATACGTGAATTCTATATACATCACGCAACGCGTACGTATTTTTTTACTGTTAATTTTTATTCAGTTAAAAATTTATAAAATTATTATATTATAAATGCTGTGAAAACTTTTTCAATATATCATTAAAAGCTAGATATTAAATATTTAAAAAATATTATTAACTATCGTTCCGACACGATGTTGGAAATGATCAAACTACTTTACGCTTACTATCTTGATATAATAGTGTGTATAACAAAAATATATTCTTACGTAAGAAACAAATGTAAAAATATATTGACTAATAAATTATTATGTGCCTCGATGATCCTGATATCAACTGGTTTCACGTTTTAGTACTTGGTACAAAAGTACACGACACATATCTTTGTAGAGCCTATGAGAACGTGGTTCCCGTAGTTTCCCTTTTCACTCCGTAGCGTCGTAACAGTCGATGTGATATGGTTTCGGAACCGTTCTCTATACCTTTACCTAAATGTACAACATACTTAGTGTTTTAATACGTCTGTTTCGATACTTTAAAACTATTTGCAAGCTCCGTTTTCGTGCTGAAGCTACATTTCAACACCGTTAAATTTATTTGGTCTTCATTTGTTTTGTTGTCATTGTTTTGTTGTCATTGTTTCTGGTAATCGATCTGTAATACTAATATGGTAAGAAATAATTTTATATACTTTATGAAATATGCAAATAAAAAAGAAGTATGTAGGTAGATTAATTTAATATTAAAAATATTATCTTTAATTGAGTATTCATCACGAAAACGGATAAATCATTCAAGTCGTATTACGTAAGAAATATGTGTGTCAAATAAAAATTTAATTTAAAATAAATGTGATACAAAATGAGTTTATTATAGCGATAAAAATATACCTATTGTTTTCTTTTCACAAACGTTATTTTACGAGACTATTATTATAATATGCTCAAACTTTCTCCACTCGTAATTCACGATACTAGTCAAATAGCGGATTCGATCCCAAGACTTTTCGAGTTTACACCCGTAACCATATGCTACTATTGCTTTTGAATTAATCGGGTAAATTTCGCGATGACGGTTTATTTTTTTTAAAGTGGTAGGGCCATGCTACAGCTATATTAGTGGTATAGTTGTAGCACGAATGGGTCGGCTCGACCGGGGAAGGAGCACGCTCTCACAGAATACCAGCGTAAAATAGCAGCTTAATGCTGCTGTGTTTCGTATAGTGAGTGTAGAGAACCGAAGACACTTTTTACTGGAAAACAGGCATTCCATCTTAGTCCTCATGGGTGAAAACGCATCTGCATTTTGATTCGCAAACGAGGATACATGTAGATGTCTATGAGCCACAGCAACCACTTACCATCAGGTGGACTGTGTGCTCGTTTGTCACCCTATCCTATAAAAAAATTGTTGTATGCTTACGATTTATTCATCGGAGCTAGGTCCAGAAAATATGGTGGGTGCTGCATCAACTGAAACAAAGCAGTTCGACTGGCAGCACTTGCGATATCAGATTCTATGACTTCTTTAGCACACAATTTTCCTGACATTTATTCTTTAGTTCTTTGTAGTTTTTTGAGTAATGATGCGTAATGATCTCCGGTTATAGTCTCTACTTAAATAGTCGATCATTATTATACCTTCCGCATCCCAGAAGTCAGAGGCCATTATTTCTCCTGTGTGTGTAGATACTCTCGGCTGGTGGGTAAGACGGTCTTTTCCGAACCTTGCTTTGGTAACGAAACGAGCGCAAAAAGAATTTGGGTCTTCTTCCATTATTGCTAAATTTAGCTTTGAAATGTCAACCCTTGTTTTTTTTTAGGCGTCTGTTGACATTCGCGGAATCCCGCGGGCGGCCACTTTTTTGAATTTTATGGTATGAGTTAGAATAAACTGAAAGGAAGAAGTTTAGAATCTCAGCTAAAGGACGGATGATCACACGTCGATCTACATTTCTTGGATTTTTTAACGTTTTCTTGCGTAGCGGCTGCATGGAGCGAGTGTCGTCATTGCAGGTAGTTATGTCGCGTTTAAATTGACGCACCATTATGGTACTGTAGAATAAGATGAAGCATTATCTGCCAAAGTAGAAAATAGAAATATTTTTTCAGGCACAAATATTTAATAACCACACGAAGTTGGAGTATAAAAAAATTAAAATAAAATTTAAATTTAAATAAAAACTTTAAAATCACCATCATCATCATTATCATCATTACAGCCCTTCACAAGTTAAGTACAGCTGTTCAAAGCACGGCCCTGAGAAATCCCGAGCAGATTCCTTTGCATAGCTCACTGAGCGATCTTGAGCTTCTTCATACGGCCAGCAGTGAAGGACCACGTATCAGATCCATAAGTCATCACTGGCAACGCGCACTGGTTGTACAATCTCATCTTCAAATTTTGAGGTATACCTGACGAGAAGATGTATCGTAATTTCCCAAACGCTGCCCAGCTGAATTGAATCCGTCTATTGACCTCTCGGTCGAAGTTGAACGTACCTAGTAGGACTATTTGATCCAGGTAAACATGCTCGTCAGCAACTTCGAGCTTAGTGCTCTCAACTATTAACGCCATAGGTGTGACATGGACATTACACATGATCTTTGTTTTGTCCATGTTCATCTTAAGACCTATCCTTTGAGAGACACTATTGAGGTCATTGAGCATAGTGCTTAGGTCCTCCAGCGATTCTGCCATAAAGACTATATCGTCGGCAAATCGAAGGTGAGTGGTTACCGTGATGAATGGGAGGTTTCTGATTACAAAGTTAGGTTCGTCCATTCGATCCGTGTTAGGGTAACCTTCGATAGTCAACGGAGCTGGTCTAGATTTTCGTCTAGGTCAAACCAGAAAATACCATGCATATGAGGACTACCTCGGTTCTGAAATTCAATACGGAACCAAAAATCCATTACTTTAAAGAATTTTTTACTAAAATGCTCCATAAAAAATCTAATTGCTTATGAAAAAATAAGAAACTATCATAGAATAAATTCACTGTTTTGATTAAAATTGGCATAATTATAATCAGGATCTAATATACGATACAGCTCTGACCAATATAAGTCAGCTGCACTTAATGTCATAAATATTGTTAGATTTCCTAATTTTTCAATCATATCCGCTAACTCTCTAGATCTTGCATACCAACATAAGCTATATAACCTCAAATTAGGATTATATGATAAAATTGATTTATACAATAATGGATTTTGCTGCAAAAATCCTCGAAATTGCTCAATTTTTTCAACATTATGATTATTATTTTTTATACAAATACTTCCATTTTAATAAAGCTGTCCAATCGTACATCACATCATACACAAAAAATCGAAAACTTGGATCTCTTGCAAATCTGCCGTCTTCATATATCATGAGGAATTTAAAATATTCATTATTAGAAACTTTACAAGCGCGTGTATATCTAAAGTCACCTTTACCAGTAGGAAACAAAGTTGGAAATGTTCTGCAAATATATCCATCACATGTAAATTCATTAATTGGCTGAGATTACAATCTAGGCCAAGGGCCAAGGTAAAACGCAAGATCCATCATTTGCTTTAATGTACAGTACACTATTCACTGCTTTACGATTACATTGAAAAGTCACCGTTGGAGTTCCAGATTCATAAACATGATCATATATTGTATTTTGATTATCATCTTCACTATTTGAATTAAATGAAAGATGTAGTTTTTCTAGACTTTATACAAAATTGTAAATTATTTTCATCGATTGTAATATCATGATACCAAGGATTATTATTTTAAGATATATCAAAGCTGCCTTAACATTATCGCGATTAACAATAAAATATTTATATCCTAAAACACAATTTCTTCTAACAAAATATATTTGAAATAGTATTACAAATTTTACTAAATATATAAATTATTATAACTGACACTTAATCAGACTTTTTTTCTCTCTAAACTATTGAATCTAATCAACTGTATCACTCTACTGTGCGAGTCACATCCAGTAATGCTTATGTATGTAATTGGCACAAAGAAGTCGGCGGTCGAATTTGCACAAAACGAGCCATCGCTGTCGCTAGAAACTTTTTACAACCACCTACATTTTGTATTTTTCGGTAGTTTAAATTATAGTTTAAATTATAATTTGCATTGTTACATTGTACGAATAGCCCAAACCTAATTTATATTAAGCTATAGATATATAAGTCTCAAAAAGTGAATGTAAAATTCTTTGAGATAATAAAGTTCTTCTTAAACCGTAAATAGTATCAATGAATGAGAGAGGAATAGAAGAATGAGGTAAGGACGTAGTAAAATCCGTGATATCGTGATGATAATTGTTAATTTGGCCACTGTATTAAAATTGACCACCTTTAAGTCTATAATATATTGTAATAACCGGGTGAACTTGAGCCATTAATTGTTCTTCAAGAAATGTTAATTTTTTCAAAACATCAAGTTGTGGTCAAGGATAAATATTATTTTCTACAGAAAATATATTTAATTCATTTTTTTTAAAGAGCACACAGTTTACCTTTTTCAATATGTAAATCAAACCAACGGCTATGACATATGACAGTGTTTCAGTTCCAAACTTTTCTGAGCAGTTTCCATAGATAAATATATATGTAGCAAGCTAGCAGTTTCGAAATTGACGGCATATCCGGCATATTCCAAAAAGCGAGAATTTTCACGATAAAAATTCAATTCTGCGTCTCGAAATCTGTTCTGACATTGTCTTAATTTATTCATCAAAGAAGGGTTTAGTTCACGTTCTTTACTGCCAGTTAGCGTGCGTCTTCGTAGCACTTTGATGTAACAATTAAAATCGACATTGTTCATGAAGTTATGCTCAAACAATTACTCTGTGCTCCATTCATAATTCATAAATCTAACCATCATCCAGATATCAACCGAATCGCTAGGTATGATACATAAAAGTACTACTATTTCCACCGGAAACTCTAACGTATCTAACGTGGTACTACTATAAAAGTATTTTGTTAGTTTTCTTACAGATGGCGTTAATAATACAATAAAAATCTAATTAATGAAATAGCTATCATTTATTCTATTTTTTTAAATGTGAATAACAACAATTTTATGATTGATAACACATCTACACATGAATCGAAAATACTATGTCAAAGCCCAAACCTGTAATTTTCAGTAAAGTGTACTACAAAAATGTATAAATTGTGGGATAGTGTAGAGTAGGTGATAAAAATAATTTTAAAGTATTAATTTATAATATTTTTTTACTTAGTGCACTTTTCGGAACAATGAATTATCAATACCAAAGCAGCAGACTCGATATCGATCAAACGGCGTTTTCTTAAACAGGTGTCATTTACACCACAATATTTAAAATATTTTAGTAGTTGTTAGGAAGATGCTGCTGCTGGTTATTTGTTTCCCTCTGTCACTCACAGGATGATATGGGGTAGAGGACATTATTACACCGCCACTACACGGGATTAAGTGATACCTATACATAAAATGGTATGGCGCGCGTATATAACTAATATTAGGTTACATTTAAGTTATACTGGACTCGATCAGGCAGGTAGGCAAATGATTGTATAAATCACATTACTCAAAATGAACCCACAAAGATATTACTTTTAAAGTCAGAGAAATAAAATATTTCAAAAACATCTCTCGTCGCATTGATCGAGTTTTACGATGTTCAATTAACTCTGGAATTAACTCATCAATATCGATAGCAGTTTTTCTTCCCAAAAGACATCATCTCATCATGTATTCCTGAATGGTAAACCAAATTGCTACAAAAATTATGCTATGATAGCTAAGTAGCTACAAAGAAGTGTTTACAATAAATAAATGTCATTTCCCAGACTACCCTCAAAATTATAACAGATTTTCCCTGATTTGCACTACCTTCATCATTATCAATTATTCATCATCCCATCATAAGTCCACTGCTAAACATATGTCTCCCTCAAGCAACGTCACAAAACACGGTCCTAAGCTACCGACATCCATCGATTCCCTGCATCTCCTGTCAGTTCGTCATTCCATTTAGTGACGCACCACCGTTTACTTCGCTTACCTTTATGAGGCTGCCACTTGACAGCCTTTCGTTAATCTCACTCAAAATCTCAAGTGTTTTGGATATGACGCTGCCTCAGTTAACATCGACAGTCTTTGCGGTTTAATTATCTTTGGCAGACTTTCGAGCCTTGGTTTCACTAAATCGCTTGTGTGTTAAAGTTACATTAAGTTATATTAAAGTCTCTTCTCATAGATTTCTTTCATCCATCATAATATTGCTGCTATTTATGTTATTTAAAATAGCTGTTCAATATTTTTTTCTTTTTTAGTTTTCGCTACGACTTCCATCTCATTAACCTTCACTTAAACAATCCTATAACTCCTAATGTTTGAATTATTTATTGAAATCATAATCTCAATTATAAGAACGAACTTTAACCACATTTTAACGTGTTGTGACGGCGTAAGAGAATCCACTACTCCATATGATCTTCTGGGTATCGTAAGAAGCAACAGAATTAATCATCTTGATAACTCAAAATAATAAAACAACTGCGGTTGCTAACCCGCCTGTCTATAGTCGGCTGTGGGCTTTTGAGAGGCTGCAATGAAAGAAATGACTCCAAAATAATGGAATTTTCTCATAATCAATAACTGATAAATACACAGTTTTTGGATAAAGGAAAGCCTGAATGTTCACCCTATGTTTATTATTGAAAATGTAAAATAAAAAAACGCCCAAATATTTTAGATTTCTTTATTTTAATGCAAAGTTTGTTTTCTTCTTTTTAAATGTTCATCTTATTCAATTTATTCAATTAATTAAAGACTGTACCTGAAACAGAAAAATGAAACTATAATTGACTGTAGGACATTAACAATAACGTTACTTTTACACTAGATAGATAAATTCATCATTAACATAATGCATAATATTTACCTATGAAGTTATCGTTTTATTAAACTGGCCACTTTGAACTGTAATAGCTTTGGTTTGATTTGGAATAATTATAAATTTTAAAAAAATTGCCTATTTAAGCCATGTAATCCCTTTTTCAAAATCAGTTACTTGTTTCTTGGGAATTTGTTCATTCTGCAATATCGCTGTATTTATATCCATGGACTCTAAGCAAATTGGTCTTATTTTATGTATGTGAGTGATAACGTAGAACTAACTCACAAACTTAGTGACACACAGTGAAAGGCCCAGGGTGGATCGGCATAGAAAAGAAGGAATTTTGTGTGGAAATTGTTATCTGCGATTAAAAAAATAGGTGCTGTACGACCATCGCAAGCAATCATCACAGTAGTTACACCCAGAAACCCAAGCCAAACAGTGCCCACGTGCCAACGAAAGATAAGCCAGAAGAGGCTTATGATTGCGAGTTTGTGGCGAGTGAGAGAGACCAGCGGAGCATCATATCAATGGTGGTGCAGTAGTATTGAGGGTAGATCGGGTAACCCCCCACTCATTTGGGCAGTATAAAGTTCACTGTAGGCGCCATGTTCGCGAGATTCCGCATAAATCATTCCACGAGTACTAGTGACAGTCGTGGTTCTATCCGTTGCAGTAATTCTTGTAGTGTAGGCAAGGAAGGTCGTGTTGCTGAGAGGCTGCTCTATATTACATTGTGACGGGTAGTGTTGCTGTTGGTTTGCATACTTTGGCGTTATCATGTAATTACGTCACGTACGTAACACTACTCTGTAACTGTAACGGAGACATATTACGGTATGGTCGAACTATAGTGCGTGTGCGCGTGGGCGCATGTGCGTACTCACTGTGCTCACAGGAGCGCGGAGTCTGGCGCGCCGCACCAGGCAGTGAGGTGCTGCAGTAGCGCGGCTGTGTGTCTACGTATGTGTATGGGCGTGTGCGTACTCACTGTGCTCACAGGAGCGCGGTGACGGGCGCGCCGCACCAGGCAGCGAGATGCTGCAGCAGCGCGGTTGTGTGTGTACGTATGTGTAAGAGCGTGTGCGTACTCACTGTGCTCACAGGAGTGCGGTGTCGGGCGCGAGGCACCAGTCAGTGAGGTGCTGCAGCAGTGCAGCTGTGTGTGTACGCATGTGTGTGTACGTATGTGTGTGCACGTGTGCGTACTCACTGTGCTCACAGGAGCGCGGTGTTGGGCACGCCACACCAGGCAGTTAGGTGCTGCAGCAGCGCGGCTGTGTGTGTACGTATGTGTGTGTGCGTGTGCATACTCACTGTGCTCACAGGAGCGCGGTGTCGGGCACACCGCACCAGGCGGTGAGGTGCTGCTGCAGCGTGGCCGCAGCGCCCCCTGCCCGCGCCTTCGCCGCCTGGCTCAAGCGCGACCACCACTCGCGGTTCGCGCACCGACCTGCGCTTACATCCCGTGATAATAATGAATTTATAATGCCCACTTAGACGATTTCAACTTCAGTTACAACTTTTGAATAACCGAAAGCTGCGGCAGTAGTGCCGCAAATGTACGAGTATGTAGAACACCTTAAAATGACATATGATTTAAGCAAAACTGATTTTATTTAAACTGATAATGATATTTATCCAGATTCGATAATGATATAGAATGCGTCCGCCGTGTTCGGAATGAAAACGTATATAAATCGCTTACTAACTGTACGGTTGCCCTGTACATGCTCCCGGGCGACAGATGAGAGTGATACGAGTAAGTTAGATAGAAAACAACAAAATGATATAAGATAAAATGATAATGATCTAAGATAATGATAAATTTAAGAAACTTTTACAGTTAGTAGAATGATATCACTAATAAACAAGATAAAAATAAATAGTTAAAGGTCCGTGTCCAGATCTATTTTACTTGTTGTTAGTCTCTTTGCACTGATATGTTTTGATTGGCACTGACACTATAACTTGTACAAGCAATAGGAATGTCTTGAAGAGATAGCCGTGGTGCAGGCTCCAGGCGGGCCGCAGGCGCCGGGCTCGGCGTGCTCGTCGCACTCGCCTCCAGAGTACCGCTACTCCCGCTGCTCCGAATGCTCCCACTAACACGTAGATAACAACATAGTGGTGTAAGTCGTGGGTTGACAGCTGATTGAATTCAACATCTACGTCTTCCTTTTTCATTTGATGGATTTGACGTCCAATCTCCTTCATGTACGCTTGTCGTTCTCTCTCCTCTGGTTTGCTTATCTCACCTTTACTGACACGTATGGTCAAGTTGATTATGGTGTTTTGTAGGTGGAATATCTATAGCTATTAAATCGGGGTGTGCGTGCATTGTGTTGATGTGGTTGTTGTGTGGATAGATTATATATAAGTCTCCCTTGAGTACACAATTATTCCCGATTGATAAGACGCTGGCCTTGATGACGCGCTCCTAACTTCATCGCCGCATATGAATCGAAGAGTGCATTGTTCGCAGCAGAAAAATAAGTATGTATTTAGATTGATGCGCGATTAATTTTTACATTTTTTTAATGCTCGTTAGACATTTGTCTGTTGAATAATTCTTGATACACAAATTTTGATTATATTGCATATGATAAACAGAACCTCGTAACTCCCAAATTTTCGTGGTGAGATCTAAATGTAGACATAATTGTACTTCGGCTTCAGTCATAGGTATGTATGAGTCTCTTTGGATGTTTACGGCGAAGTAATCAAGATGCGGGTGGCTCAGGAACGTGCTTTATGCTGTGCGGCATTGCTTAGGGGAGGCCTATGTTCAGCAGTGGACTTGTGAAGGGCTGTAATGATGATGAATCAGAGATGGGAACGTTTTTTGATTGCTCTGTTTATTTATTTATTTGCATAATGTGTGTGTTTTACAGTTGTTATAAAAAATATAGTACAACACATTAACCATTTCCAGTGTACAAAATTATTGAATTTTAAAAACATTAATTATTATTAAGTACATTATAAATTAAAATTACAACAAAATTATAGACACTGCAAGCAATGAACAAAAACATTTACTACTATTTGCACTATCACATCATTAATATTTATGATAATTTCATGTCACATTATATATATTTTGTAATATATAATTGTCAAAATATTATTATTTTTAAAAAAATCGTCATAAATTACAGATATTGTTTTTCCAACAACTCACTAACCGAATAAAAAGATTTATTAACTAGCCACTTTTTCAACTCGTTGCCGAAACGCTACATACAACAAACGTTAAATACTTTAATGCACATTACATAAAATTGTTAAGACAGTTAACTGTTTTGGGTATTTTATCAATGACTAATTTATCTGGATTCCTTAAAGGTTTAGATTTCATAATATCTCTAGCAGTTATAAACAGCTCAGGGTTATTTTTCACAAATTTTGTTGTTTCGAGGATGTATATGCAAGGACATGTTAATACTTTTAATTTTATAAATATTGGTTTGCACGATTCATTAGAGGCCATATTACAGATAGCACGTAGACATTTTTTTTGCACAATGAAAACTATTGATGTCTACAGAATTTCCCCATATTATTATACCGTAGCTAAGTATACAATGAACGTATCCGTAATACGCCATAAGAGCTGTTGATTGCGATGCCGTCCTTGTAAGGTCCCGTAATACGAGTTCGACACTGAAAGTTTTTAGAACTGGCCACTTGTAAACGATATAATAAATAATAAGTTAAAATTTTGAAAATGGAACTCTTTGCCAATATGTATGTATTATATTAATTTGTCATTTGTTTAGGGTTTGGCGGCAAATTGAAAATTGCCTGTGTCACGTCAGCATGAATTAAACGCGAAAAAATTTTCGTACAATGATGTTTTGTGACTTTCGATGTCATTTAAGTCCACAAGAAATTTATGATAACTTCGATTGGCCTTTTGCGATGAAGCCCGATCTCGTGCCACTGTTTACAGTGCTGGTTTAATGAGTTTAAGCGTGGTCGCACTAATCTCACCGATGATCCGCGTGAGGGACGGCCTTCTAGGGCAACGACTGAAGGTAACATCAGTGTTGTGCGGCGTATGATAGACACTGACAAAAGAGTGACTTGTCATCAGATTCGGACAAGCTTAGGCATCGGTATGAGTCAAGTTTACAAAATCTTCCATGAACATTTAGCGGTCTGGAAGCTTTGTGCCTGGTGGATACCTCATAACTTGACAGAGGCCCAAAAACTCCGTCGTGTTGATTGATGTCGTGAAATGATTCAAAGATTTAACGGAGGTGACTCAAATGCTGTGTTCGAGATACATACTTACGGGTAACAAAAGCTGGATTTTATTGTTATGATCCTGAAACTAAGAGACAGTCTGCTGTCTGAGTGTTTCCTTCCGAGGAGTTGCCAACTAAAGTGAAGAGAGGTCGAAGCGTGGGGAAAAAAGATGGTGGCGTCGTTCTTCGGAACGACAGTTCATTACGCAACAATTGTTTTAGAGAACCGAAAAACAGTTACTGCAGAGGTGTACACTAACAATTGTTTGCCACTCATCTTGGAAATAATTCGGGAGAAATGACCTCGCAGTAGGATCGTCCTTCACCACGACAATACCTCGTCGCACACCGCCTAGCAAACACTCGACTACTTGGCGACGTCAGACGTGAAGTTACTGGGTAACCCGCCCTATAGCCCCTACCTCGCACCTTGCGATTTTTATTTCTTTCCGAAAATAAAACAAAAACTTCGAGAAAAACGTTTTATGGACGCCGAGGAAGCAGTGGCTGCATTTCTTAATTCTTAATGCCGTCGAAGAGACCCCTAAGAACGAGTTGGCAAAGTGCTTTTAGTGTTCCATCTCAGTGGTTCCATCGGATGCAGCGATATATTGATGTAAATGGACACTATTTTGAAAAGATATAATAAAACTAATAACTTGCTTGTTTGTTCAATTTTCTAAGAACTTTCAGTGTCACCCTCGTATGTAAACAAAGCGGTTAAGTTTATTTGATGCTTTTTCTATGTGAGCTTTCCAGTTACAAAATTTATCCATCTGTTTACCGATAAAGGAAATTTCTTGTACTTGGTTTACTTGTTCGTCATTTTATACAATATTTAGCTTTATTTCATTATTTTTTTAATAAAAAATGTGTTAATTTGGTTTTGCCTATGTTTATGTGTAAATTATTATGTTCTAACCATTTAATTATTAATTTCCAAAAATTATTTATGTAATTTACAAATTTACCAATGTCAGATTTGTTGTTACATGGCAATATCATGTACAAATAAAGCCAATAAATTATTCGTTATATAAGAGATGTCATTAATATACAATAAAAATAAAAGTGGACCAAGTACACTGCCTTGTGGCACGCTATATCCATTAATTAGGTACGATGATTTATACTGCTCAAGTTCCTTATTATAATCTAACCTTTCAAGGTTCCTTCAAGGTTTCACTTTCTACGTTTTTTTTTCGATCTTTAATGTATGATTCTACCCAATTTAATGCCGGTCCGCGAATGCGTGAGTTGTCAAGTTTGTTTAGTAGAAGTTTGTGTGAAACAAAGTCTCTTTACTCATATCTATAAATAAGTGTGATTTTTGTCATCTAAATTATTAACAACATTTTTTACAAGATGAAAACATGCATAGGTAGATTTATTGCTTTGGAATCCAAATTGTTCATTTATGTACATTGCTTTTTCAAGTATTTTGGAAAAAATAGGCACTAAAGTTATGGGGCGATAATTACACATATTATGACATTTATCATCTTTTTTATGGAGTGATTTTACTATAGATTTCTTTATACTATCTAGAAATTTGCCATTAATAAAAGAAAGATTAATGAGGTAGGTTAAAATGTGTACTAATTTACTGCAACATTTTATTATTTTCGTGGAAACTTAATCATATCCCACTGCGTGTGTATCATTCAATTACCTTATTATATACATTACATCGGCATAACCATATGGCTTAAAAATACTGCTAGATCTAGTAGTTTTATTTGCGTTAATATATTTTTAGTGGGAGATCTATTAGTAAGACTAATGAAGGAACGTATGCGGAGTAAAATTTGTACAAAGTTCAATATTATTTAAATAAAAAAGCACCATTCTTTTTTAAAATAATTGTTTTTATAATAATGTATATATCAATGCTTAATGTAAAAAATAGTTTACTTCTATTTACGGCAGTTCTGTAGTACTTTGTCCATCGCTGTCAAAAACACAGATGTCGGCATTTTATTCAACTCCAATTTTATTTTTCGAAACAAACTCTGTACATTTTTGGGAGGAAAATTATTGCAATATACTCGCCTCTTGAGATTTGCCCAAAAATCTTCAATAGGGCGAAATTGCAGAACATTACTTCGCTATTTTGCTAAAGGTTTTTTTTTTTTGGAATAATGGCTTCAGGCTAAGTCTGACCAAAACACAAACTTTTCTCCTCTATGACTCGTATTTA